TACAGATTCATCATCAAAATTACTATCTAATTCTAATATATTATCATCTATATTATCAGTAATAGTTGAAAAATAACGGGCTGATTGAAAAGCATTCATATTTAATTGAAAAAAATTAGGATTATCTGTAAATTCTTTATTATTTAAATCAATATTACTATCTTCAAATATGTCCTTCTCGGTTATTATATCGTCCCAACCCTCATTAATATTATTTAAACTAACATACTGATTATTATCCATACTACCAAAGTCAGAAATATATTCTTCTTCCATAAAACTAAGGTCGTTAGTATTATTACTGTGAAGGTCGGGTTTGTTTGTATTGCTTGTAAAGTTCTCCATTTTGAGAGTTTGTAAGTTAAATTTAACGAAAAATGGCCAACTTTATGAGTAAATCCTTCTGACTTGTTATTAATAAACAATTAAAAAAAATTATATCGACGCGTTCGTTAGAACTCGGAGAGTAAAAAAAAAAAAATTTTACGCATATTTTATTGGATAAAAATTAAGGTTAGCATTTGACGAAAAAACCAGAAATTTCAGTTTTACTAATTGATCATAGTAAAAAAAGTGATCGACAAGCTGCATATTTAATTAGTAAATCCATTTGACCCCCCTGATTCCGGAAATGACCAGTGACTGATAAGAGTCACGATGTGCGTTTATCAAATTCCAAACTCAAAAAGCTTGAAGCTCAGCTTTTTTTTTACGAAAAAAATATGGGTCAACAAAATTCACGTTCTATTAGCTCAAATAAAAGACTTACCCTTAAAAATAAAAGCTTTAAGGATTCTGGCAAATATAATGAGAAAAAGAACACAGTAAAATATTTAAATGATGAATATTATTATGAACAATATGTTGAACATACAAACGCAGGATTGAAAGAAGAACTTCTTGACGAGTTTTCGTATGTAAAATTAATTGACCTAATATCGTTATCAGTCAAGAATCATATGGGAGCGTTGCCAGTAAAATCACATTAGGATTATATGATTTCCTATATTTCATGACTTGATTTTACTGGCAACGTTCCCATATATTAATTGTTATAATTTTATTATTTTTTTTAGCGATAAATTTAATAGTGATGCAAAGAATTTATTAGCTTTAAATGCTATTTCTGGTAATGACTTTAGCAAAGTTTTGTTGAATCGAGAGGTAAATTGGTTATTGCAAAAGAAAAAGTTGTTTTTGTCATTGATCATTTTTCATTGATCACATGATTACTCATTTTAGATCACCATAAATGACATTCATGTATTTTCTGAGAAAATTGAATTGGAAGGCAAATCTACTAATCAAAAATCTTCTGGACGTTGCTGGTTATTTGCTGCAACCAATGTTATGCGTTTGATTATCATGAAAAAGTAAGCTGCATTTTAGCAATGTTTCTGCATTATTTTTTTTATTTATTCGAAAATACAATTTTATTTGATTTTATTTTAGATATAAGTTGGAAGAATTTGAATTGTCCCAACCTTTTTTATTCTTTTACGACAAATTGGAAAAGGCGAATTGTAAGGATTGATACGTCATATACCACTATCTATGCAAATAATATACGTTTAAAGAATAATTGATAAAAAGTGATTCAACTTTTTTAAAAAATACCAAATTTTTGCGTCATACCTTTTTTTCAAATCTTATCAACCTGAATTTTCTAATTCATTTTGCTTTTGGTAGGGTTCCTTGAAAATATTATTGATTTGGCCGACGAAGATATTGATTCTCGTATAATTCAATATTTAATTCAAGCACCAGTCAACGATGGAGGTCAATGGGATATGGTATGTCACATAGTTTGTGAATTTTCCTCTCTTATCTATAATTTAAATTTTATATTTGTATTAAATTTATAATTAAATTTATAATAAATAGGTCATTAACATTTTGGAGAAATATGGTGTTGTGCCAAAATCTGTAAGTTATGGAACAAATTGTTGAGAAACCCAAGAATTAAGACTAATAAAATTTTGTTTTTAGGCTTTTCCCGAAAGTTATAATTCTTCGAATTCATCAAAGCTTAATTGGTTGGTGACAACTAAATTGCGTGATTTTGCATATCATTTACGTGAATTGCACAATGCTGGAAAGGATCATAATACCCTGAGATGTGTAAAGATTGGTATGATGGAAGAAATCTACAGGATTATTGCTATTTCAATTGGCGAACCGCCTAAAAAATTTGATTGGACCTTTAGAGATAAAAATGGCAAATATCATAATTACCCAAATTTAACTCCAAAGAGTTTTTATCAAGATATTATTGGTTACAAGGTAAAAGTTTTAAGGAATATAATCAGAATTTTTAAATGATGACTTTAATAACAATTTCAATGCAGGCAACTGAAACATTGTCGCTTATAAATGATCCACGTAATCCTTATAACCGTCTTTATACTGTTAAATACCTTGGCAACATTCAAGGAGGTTTTCCAATTCGTTATGTGAATATTTCAATTGAAATGATGAAACAACTTTCAATTAAAGTGTTACGTTCAGGGAAACCAGTATGGTTTGGTTCTGATGTCGGAAAAGGAAGCTATTCGCCTTTAGGAATTTTGGATAATAAAGTTATTGATTATGAGTTAGGTTTTAATGTTAAATTTGAATTAACTAAAGCACAAAGGTTACAATATGGACAAAGCTTAATGACTCATGCTATGGTTTTAACTGGTAAGCGAAAGATAAATTATTATTAATCTTTTATTATTATTATTATTATTACACACGATTTACCTTTGTAAAACATCATAAATTCTATAATTTGTATAAAAGGTGTTCATATTGAGAATGATATACCTGTTCGTTGGAGAGTTGAAAATTCTTGGGGAGATGCTATCGGTGACAAAGGTTATTTCGTTATGACTGATGATTGGTTTACTGATTGGGTTTATCAAATTGTCTTGGAAAAGAAAGATACACCTAAAGAATTAGTTGAAGTATTGGCTCAAGAGCCCCAAGTGTTACCTGCTTGGGATCCTATGGGTTCTCTTGCTATTTAATTTTTAAATTTTGTACTTTACCAATTTTGGAATATATTTTGATTTTAATACGTAATAAATGAATTGTAATATTATTGAATTAGGCACATTGACATGTCAATCTGTTTTAGATAGCTGAGTATTATATTGTCAATAATTTTTTTTTGACGAATTCTCTTGAAACATTTGTACAGGTAATTCTACTACTATTTAATTTAGTAAATATAAAAAAAAACCTATTCAAACAGTTTTCAATAGTATTGAAATCAAATCAAATCATAATAATTTTTATTTAAGCAAACATTAAATCACTCCTCAACACATATTTAAAACCTTTTTTGATCACTTTTGCTTCCTATAGGGATGAAAAAAGGTTTTAAATGAAGTGTTTATTATTTATAAAAGGTCGTTTTTTCGCGTAAAAAAAATCACTTACGTGTAATAAACAATCATGTCCATGTTTATGTAATAAAGCCATTCCTCTTTCAGGTTTTATTACAATTTCTCCTTTTTTCTTATAAAAGACGGTCTCTCCTCCATATAAAGGTATTTCATTCTCATTATCACCTCCATTTAAATAAATTAACAAAGTCCACTCGCTTAACCTTTTTAAACAATCTTGTACAGAATCATCATAATGTTGACCAAATTTTTGTCCTATATTATACTTGTAAATTCTAATATTTGGATTTAATCCTACAACAGGTTTTTTAGTTAAAGTGGAATGCCAATTTGATACCAATAAATTTAATCCTGAATTATATAAAACTTCCGAGAATTTGATATCTTCTATTGAAAACCTATCATTATCCCTATACGCTTCACCTTTTTTTGGTATTAATGAAGGATTTGCCGATTCTAATGGTATGGTACTATTAATATAATTTATAAAATTGGTACATTCTTTTGATGTAAAAAATGATGGTATTATTACTATATGATTTTGATAAATTGTCTCGAGTTGTAAATTAGATTTTATGGATATTAATGGCCAGTTTAAAGGTTGTTTTAAAGTAGTGGTATTGGATGATGTTTTAATTTGATCCTGTTGGCAAGAATCTTGTTTACATTTCTTTGAAGATGAATATTCCGATTTCTTTATTTTATTTTTGGATTTTGGAGGCATATTTTATAAAAGGCATTTATAAAATAGTATCTAAGGATCAGTGTTGGCTATAAAATTCATATGTCCGATTCAAATTGTGGCGCAGTTTTACTAAGTCCAATTGGTCCAATTGCCAACACTGCTAAGGATCGGAACTTTATTAAAAATTACATTGTGCAGCGTTGCTTTAGTGATACAAATGTTGCAGCCTCATATAAATCTTGATGTTTGGTTCCCGAAAATATTTAATCCTAATTTTTTAATTTTTTTTTTTTTTTTTTTTTTTTTTTTTTTGACATGGATAAAACCTCACGTTTTATCAATAATTTTCAACTATGGTTTCGCGGTACTTCATGGAAATATAGTCCCGTGACATCAAATAATTCTATATCAAAATCACAATTCACAAGAGCATTCACAAAAAGTCCAAAAAAATTATGCATTTCAATAATTTTAATAAATTTATTTATAATATCTATTGCTTTAATAGTATTAAAAACTTCTTTTAGATTTATGGAAAGAATGATTGATGGTGACGGAACATGTATATTACCACCATGGAAACCCATTACGCAAGATCAATATCCAATTGAGGTCATACCGGGAAGGACAATTGCAAAAATCATACACGATCCTTCTAACGGAGAACAAGAGATTGATGTAGAGTGCGATTCGGCGTATCAATATCATTTTCCAAGTATGAGCAGTGGAAAAAAATTTGAAAGTTGGGATCAAAAGAAAAATGGACTTTTAAAATTTGCAGAAGAATATGTTATGATTAAATGTGGAACCATATCAAATTTTTTAACTCGAGAACCATTTAAATCGGATGAAAATAAATCACAATCATTTAATTTACCTGAAAAGAGTGTTCTAAAAGGTCAAAAGCCATTGGTTAATGATGTAGTATTAATCTTACTTGACGCGGTGTCCAGAGAACATTTTAATGAAGAATTTCCAAGAACTAGAGAATTATTGAAAAATATCTCAAATCGGACCAACGGAACTCATAGATCACATTCTTTCAATCGATACAACGTACTTGGAATTAATTCACCACCAAATAAAGCCTTTATTTATTCCGGTCAATCAAAAGATTATCTTTGGTCAAATGGTAACAAAGCTAAAGCTACTTGGCTTTGGGATGTCTACGAACGTCAAGGATTTGTCACAATGCATACAGATGGAGAATGTGGTGGATGGTGGGTGTTTCCTTATCGAGGATATGCTGATGGTGCCATTACTTCTTATTATAAAGCGACAAGAGAAGATAAATTGCCAGCTAATCATCAATTTCCACACGTATCAATCTGCGAAAATTATGCGCTATATCGTGGAAGTGAATTTGGTAGAACGTGCAAATTGACTAATGGACTAGATGAAAGTTATGATAAATATAATAATGAAGGAATGATAGTTTCTTCCCCATTTTGTATGGGAGAAAGAACGGCATATGATGTGCAATTTGATTATCTGGAACAATTTTTAAATGTTTATAATGATACTAACGATAGTGGGGAACGCCATAAAAGGTTGGCCACTATAACTTTAATGGATACACATAATGCTGATCTTAATTTAATTGGTCTGGATAAATCCATGGTAAATTTGTTAACAAAATTATTAATTGGTAAAGGAAATCAACCACCATTATTGGATGAAAATAGGTAAGCTTTAAAATTTTTGATTTTGATCTTTTTTCCTTTATATAATTTTTCATCTTTTTTTTTATTTTCATTTTTATAGTATAGTTATTGTGTTATCTGATCATGGCATTCATTATGGATTTGAGTACGCATCGTACGAAGGATATTTACATCATAAACAACCATTATTACACATGGTTCTTCCAAAAGATATTTCAACGGTTTATAATGAAAACATGGAAGCAAATCAAAATCTTTTAACGACACATGCAGACCTTCACATGACTTTGCTTTACGTGGCTTTTGGTAAAAGTTCAAATGATTTTAATCAAGTTGATGTTGCACGATCATTAAAACAAGCCGAAAATTTCTTTGACGATTACACTTTAACTCAAGCTCAGACTTATGGAGATGTGCTATTTTATCCATTAGATGAACATAGGACATGTTCTAAACTTGGAATTCCAACAGAGTATTGTCCCTGTATTAAATATACCGAATTAGAAAATACAAAAGAGAAGGATGAAAATATTATTAACCGTTTGATTGAATTCGCCGTTTCCTTTATGAATGATAAAATACAAGAATTTGGAGTTGAAAAGATATGTAATAAATTCGATTATGATATATCCAAAGCTATAAATAGATCGGTTGAAGCAAATTTTACATATGGAGACTTAGAATATTACTCTGGATATTATCTACCTTCAACGTCACAAAATTCAAGAATTTATGCTGTTACGGTGAATGTAAAATCTTATCCAGCGAAACTTAAATTTTCTTCAACATTTATTAATATTGTAAATAAAAATACAAATGGTCTTACTGTAACTCAAATAACTTCTTATAAAGGAGAATGGGAAGGAATTTGTAGAAGTAAGATTTATAAAAATATTAAAAATGAAAAACAAGACCAAGAAAGTGAAGCATATTTAAAACATTTTTGTTTTTGTTCTAAGAAATTTTAGATTATTTATATAAAAATTATATATATATATAAATATATCCGTATGTATTTAAATAGATATGTAAGGGATTTATTTATTTTATTTTTTTTTTTTGCTTGTGCGTATATTCTTTTAATTAATATAACAATTTAAACAAATTTACATCTTGAAATAGGTATACATATATGTATAATATCATGCAATTTCTCATCTATCTAAGAAGAAAGAGCATTATGTTTTTTTTTTGTTTTTTGTTTTTTGTTTTTTTGTTTTTTTGTTTTATTTTAATAACTGTAAATATAACGAAAGTCTAATCTATTTAAAATTTTTATGATACCAAAAAAAAATAATTTAAAAAATAAATAAATAAAAAGAACCATTTTAATTAATGTGACCTTTCCTTTTAGTATAATTATCTCATAATTGAAGAATAATCCTTTATTCTTCTTATTGTTCTCGTCTATTCTGATAACCTAAATACAAATATTAATAAATTAAATAAATTATATATTGTATTTCTTTTCTAAATATTCAGGTTGTAGTTCTTCAGGCAGAACTCTAAATTCTTTATCATCATCGTCATCGTCAATATCAAGATTATATTGAATAGATAAGTTACTAGGAGGAAATTCCTTTGAATGATCACCTTCTTCTACTTTAGTATTTGTTGAATTTCTACTATAATCATAAGAAGATTGTGATGTTGTAGCACTATTCATTGTTTCATGTCTTCTGGAAAATCTAACATCTGTAGATTCTCCTGGAGTTTCTATTACTCCTTCCATCATTTTTCTATTTTTGTTAAACCTATAAAACCAAAATAATCCTCCCCCTAATAGTAGTAATCCAATGAGACTACCAATTATTGCCCCAACAAGTGCTCCCGTATTTGATGATGTATTATTTACTGGACTAATGGTTCCAGGTGGCACTGATGCTTCAATGTCCAATGATGTTAACCATTTATAATTGTTTTTATCTTTGGTTCCTAAAGCATATAGATTAGATGTTGGTCCTTTATCTGTGATATTCCCTATATGAAAATTAAAAATTAAAATTATCTATGTATTTAAACGTAAATATGATTAATATGCTTACCAAAAGAAATAATCATGTTATCTCCAACCAAATACGCAGCGTGATAAGCAATTGTAGGAGGAGAAATTCCGCTTGCTTTAGGTTTACTCCACACATAATTATTGTTACTGGTTTCTAAAACTGCCAAATCAGGACTTGCCGCAGTATATCTTCCATCTGCTGAAATCAAAAATGATCCACCGTAAATAATAATGCGTCCATCCGTTGCTGAAAAAAAGAATTTCTTAATGTTAACCTTCCAAAAAAAAAAAAATTAAAAATAATTTTTTTTTTTAAACAAAATACATACTCAATACAGCGGAATGGCCACCGCGCGGATTTGGAGTGTCACCTGTAGCTTCCTATAGAAAATTTATGCATTTAGAATCAAATTCTACCTATGATGATATATTAAATTCACGTCTCTTACAATGTTAATCCAAGCAGCAGAGTTGGTATCATACATGTTCAACTGCAATTAAAAAATTAAAAAATAAATAAGAGATATATATATATATATATATATATGAATCGAGAGTCATCTTCGCAAAAAAAGTTCAAAAATTTCTTAAATTTAAATGCAATAACCTGAGTCATAGGAACATAGCGATTATTTAAATTACTTCCACCAATGTAAACAATATAACCATTACTTAAGATCGTAGCAGAAAAATCATTTCTTGCTTCAGGAGCACCATCTTGAGTTCCATAACTCCAGGACCAATTAACAGTATCCAAAATTGCCATATCATTTAAAAAAAATGAATTTGTTTCTTGTCCCGTTGATCCACCAAAAATATACATTTTACCTGCATTATCAATAACAGCTTGAGTTTGTTGTCTTCTTAAAGGTTCATCACCATTAACAGTTGAAATTTCAGGTTTGGACCATGTATTCCTTTTAGTATCATATACAATTACGATACTACTGGTTTCAGAGGGAGTCATTTGCCCACCGAAAAGAACAAATAAATCTTTATTTGCACCTCCGGCCACCGCTGTTCCCCAACTTGTAAACAAATTGTCTAGACCTGTAAGTTCCGTCCATGGTAATTTTCCCGAATCTGTTGAAGTAAGTGTAGATATATCCAAATAAAAGAAATCTGATATTATGGGTTCTGGTAGAGAAACGAATCCTCCCATATAATAAATTCTATTGCCAATGTGTGCTGAATTTTGTGCAAACCGGGGTAGAGGTGTAAAGCATATAACGTCAAGAACAAACGAACTTAATATCAGTGTTAACCGCACAAGCGACGGTTTATATTTAAATGCCATTTAAATATATTAAAATTAAGTAGTCGTTATAGATTTTTCTTCTACCCCAAAATTATAAAGAATTTAAAACAGAAAAATTTTTTATTAAAAAAAAAAAAAAGAAAAGAAAACGAAGTAATAATATTAAAATTGGTGATAATAAAGTGTGGTGTTTTTTTTTTTCATATTGCAAAAAGCTTAAACTCTCAATTTTCCGAATTCTAACGAACAATCCAACGTACGAAAGTCGTGTAACTTTTCTCATCATTATATATTATTTATATGAAAAGTATTGTAATTCAAGACGATGCAATATTTAAAACAAATCATAAACGAGGAAAAAATATATTTTTTTAATATTCCCAATTAATTTATTTTTATTTATGTACAACATTACTTTAATTGCCAAATATGGCTAAACCAAGTTACCTAAAGTCACTTCAAAACGTGTTACATTTCAAAAAAAAATTATTTTTATCGTCAACATTATTTATATTTATATGGTATGGTTAATTTTAAACTAACAAAATGTAAAAATGCGCCCGGATCCAAGAGTGTTTACCCTTCCCGAACACAGCTGAAGAAGCCATCACACCTTTACCCGTGTAGGCTTAGTTTGATTTCCTTTATTAAATTGATTTCTTTATTAAGATAACAATGTTGTAATATGAATTTTATTCCGTAGCCAAGTGAAATATTGCTGTGCGCGCGCATACCTTCATATTTTATTGGCTTATGTTATTGTATTTTTAATTTCGGATTTATTACCGTGAAAAAGTCCATAAAAATTCAATCTTATCAAAGTTGACAAATATAATGAATATTATTAAATTTTTAATTTAGTAATATGAGACCTAAGAAAAAAAAAAATTAAAATAGGCTAATACTAAATCAATAAAAGGGGGGATCTAAATTTTGGTCAATTTAGATTTCCCCCTTTTTATTGATATTCTTCCATATTTCCTAAAAAAAAAAAAGTAAATTTGGTTATTTATAGTTAAAATTAAATTACAGAATTTTAATAAAATACTTAAATATATAAATTTAAGATTTGATACTTTTAACTAAAATAAACAAATAATTTTATTTTTAATATAAAATAAATCTAAAAAATATTATATTAAAGTTTATATTTTTTAATGATTTAAGTTATAAAGAATATTTATATAAAAAGAGATATAGTCACATATGACTTTATAATATAATTATATTATGAAGTCACATGCAACTTAGATTAGATTATAAAGGTAACTTCATAGTCTATTGATAACTTCATAATATAATGGTAACTTAATAGTCTATCAGTAACTTCATAATATAATGGTAACTTCATGATCTGCTAGTACTTCATAATCTAAGTTTGTAATTTAATGGTGACTTCATAACCTAATTACATAATCTGATAGTAGTTTTAGAGTTTAATGGTAACTTCATAATCTATTCTTTGGTTATCTTTATGGTTCTCTAGTTATTGTTTTATTTAATTCCTATTATACTTTTTATTAATTAGTGTTAACTTCATAATCTAATAGTAATTATATTCTTTAATCTAATGGAAACTTTATAATCTGATAGTTACGCCTTACTTCTTTGTTTTTAGTTCTTTTTAATGTTAAGGAAATATTTTTTTTGTTTATGTGCTTTTATACCTTTTTTATTGATAAAGAGCTATTATTTTGTTTACTTGCTTCTAGATCTCTTTGGTTACCTGTTAAGGTATTAAGAATGCTTTCCTTTTTTATCTATTTTATTATCTACCAAAATGCTAAAATATGATAAAAAAAATATTGTATCAAATGGTGCAGTAATTCAATGTAAATCTGCAATTAATTTTGGCCAGCTCTATGACATAATTTTGGCTGATCTTTTAAACATATGATTTGAGGTTTCAACTTAGTGCTATGGTAATAACCTGGTAATAACCTGATATCTACTGTAAAACTGTCATAAAACTGTTATAGAACTGGTAATTTGCCAATTTAAATGCTGACTTCTTATATTCAAAGATTTAGCTGAAATTATTGAGTAAATTTTAATTGCATCTTATTGCATTATAGTCATGTGATAGTGTTCTAAAATTAGAATACTCTTTGCTATATAATATAGCAAATTCAGTTAGTTTTGGCTAACCTATTTAATTACCAGAAATGCGTTAATTTTGTAATCCTATTTATTATCAATTTATATATGCCGATTTCATATTCCCAGTAAAAGTTAAGTTGTGACTAAATTTATAGAATATTATATTATCAAAATTAAACAAAAATCTATTATGCTAAAAATTTAGGTATCAGATTAGTTGCAGACTTGTTGTAAGCTAATTGCGAACTAGTTTTAAAAATTCTAAATTTGGTTGACCTATTTAATTGCTAAAAAGTATACTATCTTCTGGTTTAACTATTACATCAGTGTATATATACTGATTTCATATCCTAAGATTTGAATTATTAGAACACATTTATATTATATTTTATCATATTTTTAGGCATATTAGAATATAAATTAAGACGATTTTTTCACATTGTGCTGTTCCTATTATCCCTAGAGAAATTTTTCTAAGAACACTTTTTAGAGATAACTATGATATCAATTTTGGAAGTTTTAAGTTTACTGATTATGTTCTTTTATGTTTATCCCTAGTATTCCTAGTATTCTTAGAAAAAAGTAAAGTTCTAAAAAAAGTTCAAAATTTTCCTATGCTATATATATATGATATATGTATACTATATACTGATATATCTATAAGTAAAAAAAATAAAAAAAGTATAGATATTCGATTTTTTTCTAAGAATACTAAGGGCATTAGGGATACCTATCAAAAAGTATTCTGAGAATTTTAAAAGCGTCAAAAAATCTACTTTCAACATTTCCTGAAGTATTTCCTACATTTTTTCTAAGGATAATTTTCTAAAATCAGCATTCTACTGTAATAATGTGAATTTTATGCTTTCAATAGTAAAAATTTTAATTAAAAGCTTTAATATAAATGAATTTATTAGAGAATTATGCTTCCAATCTTTTCAAAGATACTTCTAAGAGTATTTTCAATCTTTTAAGTGTACATTACTGCTCTACTGTATCAGATATTTTATTTTTATCAAAAGTCTTTTTTAATGCTTTTAGTATCTACATATTCTGAAATATCTTATTCAACTTCTTCTGCTGATAATATGCTTTTGAATAATACTTATTTACATGTAAATTACAATATCCTTATTTTAATACTGTTAATCTTATACACCTATCTTATTTGCATAGAGGTTACTGATATCTTTTTCAATGAATATGATATCTTTCTCATCACTCTACAAGATTTTCATAAACTATCCCTTCATTAAAGTGATACTAATAAATATATTTACCTTTCACAATATAATTATCAGTAAAAATAAATATGTCATTAGAATCATTCATTTTTAGTATAATTTTTGGTTAATTTTTTGATATTTATAATAATATTTATTTTTATTTTAAATTTTTTTTCCTAAAGTATTATACTGAAGGGTATACTTAGTTATCATATTCTGAAAATAATATCATGATCCAATCCAAGCTTTTAGACTTTTCCTCTGATAAACTTGTCCTTTTTTATTATGGATTTAAAGTTAACAATATTGATCAATACTTTTATAAAATTCGTGATAATAGTATCAGGTCAAGAGAATTTCTTGATACAGACAATGAAAATAGTATCAAAGCTATACTCTCAAATCATGAAGGTCATTTCTTATATGAATTCATTGATAGAGATAAGCCACTCTATTCTATCATAGATTTCAACTTACTAATAGAAATACTAAATACTATTATCCTAAGCTTTCAAGCGGTCAGACAAAAATTTTACTTTGTTATACCTTTAGAGATACTTACCTAGAAATATTTTCAGAATGAGATAAAGAAACTATGTCTATTCTTCAAGTCCTTTATTAATAGTATCATTATTTATAGCAGTATAACCTGTTAGATCATAATAAAGAACTCTCAAAATTGCTGGTATAATAGTTTTTACTAATAAATACTATATTGAATGCATTATATTAATTATTATTATTTTAATATTTTTAAATAATTAAATAAAAGATCATGAACTCTTACTTTATAAAAGACATTCTTGTACATTTGTCTAGTAAAATACTTAGGTAATAGTTCCTAAATACTTGCTATTGTTGTGCTAATTTTATTTCATCTCTATCATCTGGAAAAGCTGAAACCTCTCATATATAATTTAAAGTTTTTAAATAATTACCTTGATGATATCGATAAATAGTTATAGAAATATTAAGTTATAAATTTTTAATATAATCATATTGTTTAAATACATTATTTGGTAAATAATGCTCTATATTTATAAATTCATATTTATCTTTAAAGTTTAAGCATTTGCCAACTCTTTATAAATTTCTTTAATTATATTATTAGAATCAGCATCAATAGTATATACTTCTAGATTTATACTAGAATCTCTAGCTGATACATCACTATAATGAATTTTATACATATGATCATTGACTATTTTCAAAAAATTTGCATACTGATCAACTATTGTAATTAAAGCAAGAACTTGTTCAATTATTAATTCCAAATTACTCCACAAGCCTAAGAAATAGATGTTGATAATGTTAAGGATTTTGTAAGATCAGTAAGTATAGTATAAGTTAGTTATTGCTTTTTATGTTTTTCTTTAAAATAAAAATGATTGTAATTAAGTTTCAATTTATATTGATTGAGTTTCAAAAAAATTTTTGAAAGATATAATTTTTATACAGTAAATTTTTGTAGATGCAGATCGATATACTAAATTAATGCTACCAGTTATTCAACAAATTTTTTTCCAACTGTTTCATGTAGTCCACCAGTTCAGTCAACATTATTTTATTTCAATAGTTTTATAATATCATTATATAATAAATCATATTGGATTTCTTTTTTCTTAATTGCAGGTAAAGCCAATTTGTTGATATTTTCCATTAATATGATAAATGCATTTATTCCGAATATTTTATTTGTACTTTGTGTATTATCAAGTCTTTGTAAAATATCTTTCAGTTGTATGATAAACTTAATATGTGTAAAGCCAAGTATTGTCAATAAACTAAGTTTATCCTGTAAGCTATCTTGAATAAAGTTCCATTTTGAATCATCTTTTTTAACAAATACATGAACTTCATGAAACTAAAATACAGGTTGAACGAGATTTTTAAAAAGATTGTTAAAGGTTAAAGTTTGCTTTTCTAAAGAAAGAGAAGTATCTTTAACTATACTAGAGCTAATTAGAACTTTGCGCTCTTCTTCAACTTAAACTACAAAATATGACATTTTAAATAAAATAAGATTTGAAATATACTTGCGTTAAGTTTACATATCTGCAATTGTTGCATTTCTGTTAAATATTTTCTGTGATTTGTATTAACTTATAAATAATTTTAAAAAACTTAAAAGATATTTGAACATTTTAAAGTTATAATATGAGAAAGTTATTTAACTTAATAATGTAACTAGGAAGATTTTAATATATATTACATAATTTAATATATGTTGTTAAACTATATTTCAAAACTAATATAGGAGGGAGAGATTGATGTTAAACAGATGATTTACTTAGTCTAGCCTTATACTCACTGACATATCTGTAAACTATCTCAATGATTCAGTAATATATTTGAAGTTACCTTTTATTGTGAAGTTAGATGGCTTATCAGCTTTTTACAAAAGGGCATTAATTGTTACATCATTTGCTCTTCTAAACTTACTTGCACTATCTAAAAAAGAATTAGAGATCATTAAATTATCTATTTTAGTATTCAGATATTGTAATGATGAAAACCACTCATTTAATTTTGATTTTTTTTCCTGAACTGTATGAAACTGACACATTTTTCACATTACCAATGAAAGTTTTAGAAATAATTCATCATATGTTTTTGGTTAACTGGACTCTAAAGGTAACTTATCATTTAGTAGTAATTGTTTTTTTTCCAGTGTATAATATCATGCATTGTTTACTTTATCATAATCACCACTATTATCTTCATTATTATTAGAATCTGAAGGCGTATTTTGAAAATTTATAGATATGATAGGCTTAAAATAAGACCAATTAAAATTAGATTGTACTATCTGTCTATTGGATAACTACCTTTACTATGACCAGTTTCTTTACAATATCACATTTACGTATATTTAGTTTCTTAAATTTATTAACTAATTAGTTTACTGCATCACAAGTTTTATCAAATCCTTCTTCAATCTTATCAAATCTAATAGAGTTATTGCTTCTTTGCGAGTAAGATCTTTGAAAAAGCTTTACAGAGTAATCAGAATTCAAATCTTCTTTGTTAAATATATCTACTTCTTTTAAGTATTTAGTTACATAATAATTCTTAAGACCTTTCTCTGTTTTCAATGAAGATGGTAAACCTCTCAGCTGTCTAACTGGTTCAACAGTTTGTTAAACAGATACTTGCTGATCTGTATTTGAAATTCATTTTTTTCCTTTTCTAATAAAGTCTGGTATTTAGTTTTTTGTTGTGTCAATATGTTTTGAATTGCTTTTTGCATATCTTCTAAAAAAATTTCTTGCTTTTGAGGAGCTGAAACAGATGAGGATTTATATATTTCTTGAGATGCTCAATTAGGTACTAGAAGGTTAGGTATTCTATCTCTTTTATGTCTAGCTATTCAGCGTAATTTTATTTTATAAAGCTTTTTAGCTAATTTATCCAATGGCAAATATTCACCAATATTCTCAGCTTTTTCAAGCCATAAAAGTGGAAGAACATCTAAGAATTTTCTATACAATTCTTTAGGCCTATAAATAACTTGTCTTCCTATTTATAATATTTTTTTTATATAATTCATCTATAGTCATGTCTCCCTTTATGATTATTCTATATACCATATCCTGAAGCTCCTCTTTTACTGTAGAAAAATGTGTTTTTAGTCATCATATAGCTTGACTAAAATGAATATCACTTACAACTACCATAATACTATTATTAGCATTTGGCTCAATTACTAGAAAGTTAATAAGATAACCTCCTGCTATGCATTATCTTTATCTCAAGGACTTTTTACAGCTCTCAATTTGATTATTGTAATTCCTGGTTGGTCAACAACTTCATTTAATGCTTGATTTCCTATTTGAACAGCTGTTTATTTATTTATAGTAACTAAGTTAGCCTACCCTATATTATTAAGTAAATTAGATAACTTCCAATTCTTTTTTGTAATGATTTCTTCATCAAATCATTCTAAGGCTCTTCTTCTTATATAGGCTCTTAAATATCCTATTGCCTGATCTCTTTTTGTTACTAAAATATCTACATTATCTATTAGATCTACATCTTGGTTTTGCAAATATAATCTAAGTTTTGCAAGATAATTAGGGATATCATCATCCCAGTCAAAAATAGTTGTAGTATTCTTACCATATTTATTTGATTTGATAGATTATTCTGTAGCATTAAAATTTATTCTTGCAAATTTAAAATATTCTGCTGAGCATCACAAATCTTATTTTTTTATTTCTCATATCACTCATAGAGCCTATCCTAATTATACTCTAATAAATCTATATTTCCTCTATTTTGCTATAGGTAATAAACATTTCGCTGATATAATAATTGTAAGGCAAATTTTTTTATACCAGCTTACCTATACGGGTTTATTTTCTTACTTATCATTCTATTTACCTGATTTTGAACATTAATTTGATATTACTAAAGATCATCAATAATCCTTGCTTTCACTCCTTCAGAAAGTTACTTTCATATAATTTTATTGTTATACTCAACCTCTACATCATTACGCCTCCATTGCTCACAGACTAAATCTTAATGCAATTATTTTCTTTTCAGCAAATTTGTCTTATTATCCTTTTTATTTGATCTATCAAAATATTTCTAGCCATTACTCTATTATCTATATAACCGTCTATAGTATTTGCTAGTTTAATGATTATTATCACATTATTATCAAAATTATATAAGTTCAGGGAATTCTCTTGCTTTGGTAAATTTTTCTGTAATGAAATAGTCTTAATTTTATATCGCAAATTTTCAACCTGCTTCTCAGATTCTACTAACTGCTTTTCTAAGGTAGAGATATACTTTTTTTTATCTCACATAGAGTTCCAGATGAGTCAAGTTAACTTACAAGTCAGATAAGCTAAATCGAATTCAAATTAAGTTGAGTTTATGTTTTTTTGACTCAATGATTTGCGAGTCAAGCTAAATTCAAGTTGAGTTAAATATTTAACTCGACTCAATTTAAACTCGACTTGATCTGAGTTGACTTAAACGATAAAAAAATCATTCTAAGAAAAACGATAAGAAATTGTTTGACTTGAACGATAAAAAAATTGTCTAAGAAGAACAATAAGAAATCATTTGACTTGAATGATACAAAAATCATTCTAAGAAGAATGATTAGAAATCATTTGACTTGAACGATACAAAAATCATTCTAAGAAGAATGATTAGAAATCATTCAACTTGAACGATACAAAAATTGTTCAAGAAGAACGATAAGAAATCGTTTGACTTGAACAATACAAAAATTGTTTAAGAAGAATGATAAGGAATCGTTCAACTTGAACGATACAAAAATCGTTCAAGAAGAATGATAAAGAATTATTCGCTTCTTCTCCCTCCCCCCCTTCCCCTTCCTGATCTTTTCATTTTTTTTTTATTATTTTTTTTTTCAAAATCGAATCAAGTTAAAATTGAGTCGAGTCAAATTAAGTCAAATTTAAAATTTATATAACTCGAATCAAATCAAATTGAAAGATTTTATAAAATAAATTTGACTTGACTTGACTCGAAAAAAGAGAGTTGAATAGAGTTAATCTTTAAACTCGACTCAACTCAACTCATTTAGAACTCTAATCTCACACATTCTTTCTAGCTTGATATAGCTGACTTTTTGGGCTAGATATTTTAGATTTTAACTCTACTATCTCTTCTTCTAAAGCATTTTCAAGGTGCTCTATTTCTCTATTTAGATTTGGATTTCCTATTCACATTAGACATAATTCCATTTTAGTTGATTAATTCGTTTCTTATTCTAGTGATTAGTATTAATTTCTGTTTGCAATCCACTAAGAAGATGATAGTTCTCCTCTTCTAGCTCAGTTTTATATTCTTCACATGTTCTTTTCTATCTTAGATGAGACCTATGAAATGATATTCTTTTTTCGTGATTATAAAAAAGAATGAGTGAATTAATTTATATAATCCTTAAAAAACGTATGATCTTGACTAGGATCTTACTTTGCAAAAGTACAAGAAAAAAAGTATTCTAACTCATATTTTTGATATTTTATAGTCATATCATTTACCTAAAAGACATAATACTTCTAATATTCTTTTTATATTTTTCAAAGTTTATATCACTATAGCCTACAGAAACTAGCTTACATTAGGCTCTACTATCTAAATCTATAATAGTGTTTTAGCAGATTATAATAGATTATAATAATTTTATAGTGTTTTATTGATTTAGCTAATTTAGCATATTATACTATAATAAAATCATATTTAAATTTATACTGATTTATTGATTAATCCTTTATAGTGATTAATTGATTTATAGCTAATTTAAAAAACTATATACTAGTAAATCCAAATTCATTTTTATTCTATTGCGAGATTTATATAGGAGACTAAGCTAATTTTATATTTATATGCAGTTTGTAGAACACTCATGATTAATAGAAATTAGCTTTGAATGATGTATAACATAAAAATTTGTATCATTCTGCTTTTCAGACAGTTCTTAGCACTTTTTTGCAATCTTCTTACAACTCAAATCACAAGATTATTAGCTCTAGATAATATTATATAACAATTAGTATTACTAGACTAAGTCACCATTATTATTTAATTAATTATTAATGTAATATGAAAGAGTTATTGCTAACACAAACCTAGCTATTATTTTTCATAATTATATTTCTGTAGATGATGCTATATTAGCATATATGTATGGCGATTAGTAATCAAATAAAACTTTATTTTATTACACTGTAGCAGATTTATTAATTAAAAAATATTACTAAAAAATGAAAAGTACTTTATTGCAAATTGGCTGGCTAGCCAAAAAAAAGCTAAATGCTTAAATGTTCAGATATAATGAGAGTTTAACATATAAGGTTTGTTATCCCTCCATTCACTACAAATTTATCTATTATGTTTTTATTTATCAATTATGAGAAAAAAAAGATCACACAGACTAAAAATGACTAATGAAGGGAAAAACTAATGACATATCTACAAATTCATCTAGTATAGTTTTATATTAAATATAAGCTCACATTCTAAGAGTTTCTATAAAAAGAAGTATGATATATCATTTTATGTATAATATAAAGATATAAAGACATAAAAAGACATAAAAAAAATATTATAAAACACTTAAGATATTTCGCATATTCATAGCGTTTCAGGTTTTGATAATTTTGATTTATGAAGTTGATATCGTCTTCATTAAAAGTCAAGAGCTGATCTATAAAAAATGAATGAACAAATTGAATTCTAAATAGATCATTACTAAAAATTTTAACCATTTTCTAGCCTTTTTAATTTTATTTTTATCACGCTAGAAAAGTACTAGCTGGTAAATATCTCTGAATCTTCATATTTAATATATGTTATGCTCTCTTTTGCTCTTTTCCTATTAATTCATTAAGATAAAGAGTTAGTGCTAAGCTAAATTTGTAATAGCAATAGATAGTATTAGAATCAACTTTGCTGACTCTTCAAAATAATTTTTGTAAAATCACTGAGGGCTGATTCTGAGGGATTATTTCTGATGAATTGCTATCAATTTCCATCACTTCAGTTGACACTTTATGTAATAAAAGCTAACAATCTTTCTTCTCTATTTATATTTCTCCAACTGAGTTATTCAAGCTATTTGATAACATTGCTTCAGCATTCTAAATATCGTTCTTTGCAGACTGAAGATGCATTGTAATAACTAATGTAAAAAGTATGACCATATTAGAACATCGTATGTAAGTTTATAATTTTCCTTTTGCAAGTCAAACAAGGTTCAGCTCTCTAAAGAGGTTCAGAGAAAAGATAGTGAGCCACTTTATAACCTAAACTTATTAGAAGTAATGCGATCAATTTCTGAGATGCCATTAAAATGAAAAAAAATTCATGATAGTCTATTTATAATTACGGTGCTATGGTAAGGGTTGAATTGATAAACTAGATAAGAAAATATAGTAGTATATCGTATCATATGATAATTGTGAAGATTCTTCTCACTTCTAATTAATAGAAGTAGGATCTACGGCTAATAATGTAATATATAAAATTATGATCTACTGTGTTATATATAATATAGCCTATTAAATAAGTGATTACTAAAAAATTAATTTTCTCTTTTTTATTTATGATTAGTTATCATTGAAAGTAAAAAATACATGTGAAAATTAATACAAAAAGTTCAGAAATTTTAGCTCGTAATATATGCAATATCATATGATATCTATGAAGACTCTTCTCACTTTCAGCCAATAGAAATATGGAATCTATCAGCTAATTATATGTTAAAAATTAGTGATATATTACTGCATATAATATATGCTTAGCTAAGCCACCCACATGATTCAAAAAAAATATTTTTATTTTACAAGCTGGAGACGCTATACAAAATTCACTTAAGCAGTTATTAGACTGTGACCAAATATTCATGATACTGCTTATGCTTTAACACCTGATTCGAAGAATTGTTCTGGCTCAACTAGGTGAAGAGATTTTTGAATATAATAAATTTGGGTTAGGCGCTGATACTAAGTCAGAGATGCTATTTTATGATGATGATGATGAGTTCTGGCTGTTTGATGATGACAGTGAAGATGATGACATTGAAGAAGATAATGATTGATGGTATTCTAGTGAATCGTATATTGGGTGGAATTATAAAAAAGATTTTGGTGAAGATGCTTGAAAAAAGCCTTTTCAAGACTGAGAAGCCCGTCAACATTCATCCTTCTCAGACTATTTATCATGTGTCTTTCCAATATATTTGAACAAGCAAAAAATGGTTTATTTATCGCATTTTCTAGATCTAAATCATTTGGTGTATTAGAACAAAATGCATTATTAGATGCTCTAGCCCATTTTGTGAAAGGTTTAAATCTTTTCAAATATGATGAACTCAGGTTTGATCTAATAAACAATGCAAAGATTCAATTATAAAGGCTTACTATATTAATAAATACAAAATAAATACAAATTGTGTCTTAGAAAAAATAATGCAAATATATATATGCAATTTACATGTCACACAACCTATTCCTTTAGCAAGGTTCTTTGATTTTATCACAAAGAAATAATATTTTTTACTGTCTTGCTTATCAATCTACCATTATACCAATGCTCCTTTCCACATATAGGGCAGATTCCGACGGAAAGTACTTACCCGAGATGTAAATGGTATGCTTGCTTTAGCTGGCATAGTTTGAGAAGCAGATAATGCATTGAAATAAAAATACTTAATAAAAATCTACATCATCCCCTGAATAAAGCAAATAATTCAAGCTATTCAATAATAATTATGCGATTAATCATGTGTAGCTACATTAATACCGTATAGTCCCGAAAATAAGCACCCCGTGACACGCTCCTTTTATAGTAATTTATTTATTTGTCACATGGAATTTATTATATTATTAGTCACGTATATACTGATAAATTCATATATATCACGTGGTGCTTATTTTCGGGACTATACGGTAAGCAATTTACAAGTGTTTGTTATATTAAAAGCAAATAATCCAAGCTATTCAATAAAAATTATGCAATTAATCGTGTTGTGTTGTTGGTTTTTTTAGCAAATCTTTAGACGTGTGTTTTGTTGTGTTTTGTTGGCAGTAAATCAAATCCTCATACTAGCGAGCAACCAATTTGATGATAACCTCTAGACACTTCCAATCCAACGTTCACAAAGTTAACTGTGATTACGGGTGATTGGACGTAAACGCCCAAAATCACCGCAATCAATAGTCCTAACATTATTGGTATACTGATAATAAAAGCAAAATTTTTATTATAAATGGTCCCATCGATTTCTACCTTTATTCCCATAATATCGAATTTAGTCCCATAATAAACACTATTTATAATTAAGGAAAAATTTTTCGTTGATTTATCACTTTTAAAATATAGTGCATTTGCGAGAGTAATTGCCACGGTTATTATTATGTAAATTGCAACAGAGACTATTTCCCAACTGATTTCCTATATGGTTTGGTAGGAAATAGAAACCGATGAAAAAACTTCTTAAGTGTAAACGTGAAAGCACAGTATATTAATAAAAACAAATAAGTATTTTAATAAATTTACCGATTTTTGTCGTTCATCTCGAATCATTTCCAATAGCTCGACATTTTGGTTCGAGTTATCGTATCTTCTTCTCTGTCTTGGGGTCAAACTATCAAGTATTTTCTGCAGTTCAGGAGTCAGTTGTCCTGAAATGACAATAATGGTATCAATAAACTTGAAAACTGCTACATACACTAAAATCTTACTTACCTCCGACATTAGGTGCGTTAACGTTACCGACATTGGATACGTTAATATTACCGACAGGTGCGTTAGGTACATTAGGATTAGCATTCACCATTTTGATTTATTGATACTTTATTCGAGAGAAGTGTTTTTGCGTTAGAGAGAAATGTTAATTTTCACCCTTTATAAGTATAATTTTATGTCACATGATAATGACGACATTTATAAATAACTATTACACTTGTAGATCAATAGATTGTACACTATAATACTTTATTTATGAAAATAACTCGTTGCCTACAATACATAAAAAATGCGAATAGATCGCTTTACATTATGTGAATAAAAAAAGTAACAAGGCTAACAGTATGGTGATAAAATTCCTCACTTTCCGATTAGCTAGAGTCCAGTATCCAAGGGATTTTTTTCCAACACTACCTGGGTGTATATGATGATGTTAATAGGATCTTTTTTGTTGAGTAGTATCTTCTGTGGAAAAATATTGAGAAATATTTTTTTGCGGATCAATTAATACTCCCTGTCTTACTTCAGATTCATTTACAGCAGAGACCAAAGCATTATTGTCCTGAGCGAAATCTTTTTTATATAGATCGATCTTTATTTCTTGTGAATCTTGCCAAGCATTTTTGATCTTATCTTTCAGATTATTAACAGTCAATTTTCGTCAATTACTACAGAGAAAATATCTTTCACAGTCTCGTCACAAACAAATCAGTTGAGGCGAATATTTCTAGTTTCCTGGATAGTGGAAGACATCTTGTTTTTCTAAATATAATCCAGACAGTTGAAATAGTTAAATTAACAACCTCTTTTAGTATACTTTCAAATAAACTAACTTCAGAAAATGATATGAAAGTTAACCAAACTTCAGTCATGACTATTTCAATAGAAAATAAAGAAAAGGCTAAAGAAGACTCTTTATCAGCAAAAAGCACTATCACTGTTAGCATAAATGTGAATGATAGCTCTGATCTCACAGAAAATATTATCTTAACTGATAAAGAAATATTAGCTCTCACTAAACTAAAAACTTCACAAATTTTTTGCATATTGCCTTCTCAAAAAATACAAAAACTTTATTACTAACAAAAGATCATTAATATCATCGATTAATATTGCATAGATCTACTCAGCTTTTTAGGAATTATATATAGTAATTCTTCTGTTAATCCTACATCAACAATACTCAAAGTTGCTTTTTAAACCAAAAAGAATATGATAATTTTTGCAAAATGCAAATAGCTCAATTAGACAATATCACCTTCCTTCTTTTAGTAATGTAATATAATTATTAAACTTGATTTACAATTTATGAAAGATTTAAATATTACTTATCATAAACGAAAGAGAAATTTTACAAATTTATTTGGATTATATGAAACTTATGAAGAACATACTGAACAGTTGCTTGTGCAAAGTTATAATATATAGATTGCTAAACAAAAAAATAATAGGAGTATGCAAAATATAAAGTTAATTAATCTCTTAAAAGGTAATTTACATACAATCAAAAATTATATTTCTGTAATACAATTAATTACTGATATTTCAGAATTATATAAATATTTGAAAAGAAATATTTTAATCACTCTATAGATTATCTTGGTAAAAGAATGTTCATTGTGCAATTGTAAATCATATAATTAATGAAGAACAGTCTAATGTACTGTTACAAATTTCTCAATATTATACTTCTTATTAGTTCACTACATATATTCTTAAATAGCTGAAAAATTGTGTTTCTTATTAATTATCACTTTTTTGAAAAAATGTATCATTTAATATTTAGTTTTCGTAAGGTTCTTGCTAAAATCTAAGATTTATTGAATTAATCTTTTCTTGAAACTTGTATTTAAGGGTGGCTTCTAGTTAAAGAACTTATTTAAAATCTTTTTTATAATTGTAAAGATCCAAAAGTATATATACTTATTGATCTTTTAGATCATGTAATTCTATTGATATTGGATTTTTATTTAATAATTTTTTGTAGTAAATGCTAGAAAGCATATGAAAAAGTAATATTATGCATATGAGTTATTTTTTATTAATATTGATATAAAAATTATAATAAATTATCATTGGCATTTCTTAGTGATGTTTTTTATTGACAATATTAAACACTTATAGCAGAAACTCTTAAAGGTTCTCTTCATATTTTTAATGATTATTATGTAAAAACTTTCATAATTCTATTTGACATTACACAAATAGTTTTAATACTACTCAACAAATAATTTATCAAGCAAAAATAATTGATCAAATACATAGTAAAAATTCTTTTATTGAGGTATTTTCAAAAGTCACAATATTATTTATAAAAGAAGTTAGAATTTTTAGAAAAAAATCTGCAATTTTCCTTTTAAATTTATTTCAAAATGTTTAAAAAATCATGAATGCATAACAAAAAAAGTTAAAAATATTGGTAATATAATTTGTCAACTTTTGGTAAAATTATGGATAAAAAAGCCCTTCTAATAGGTTAGAATTCATCTGTTTTGTCAAAATTAAATAGATTGTGTAATTAGAATAAATGCACCTTATTATCAAAGATATTAGGTAGTATTTTATCGTGTAGTTATGGTTATCATACTGAATGTTTTAATCAAATAAATGAAAAATGCTTATATTACTATAAATACCTTTATAATGATATTAAAGATAATTATAAAATATTTCAAAATATGTTGAATAAGAAATCAGATAATGATAAAGATCATAATGAAGATTTGGAAAATCAAACAAATTTATAAGATGATAATAATGATATGCTTATTTTTGTTAAGAAAAATATAAATAGAGAATTAGAAAAAGCATTAGAATTATTTAAATTATTTCATAATATGGTTAGTATCAATTAATGTTAATTAATTATTCTGTTTTATAATTTATTTTCTTTAAGTGATGCTAATATTTTTGTATCATGCATATATAATCAGGTAATTATCATGCTATTTTTTAGCATTATTTTATTGATATATTTTATCATAAAATTAAGCTCACTTCAGATATTCTATTAGTCTTCTTTTCTAATTTAAATTTAATTTTACTTTAAAACATTTATTTAATTTATTTATTTAACATTAATATTTATTTAATTTTATTAATTTTATAATAGTTATCTATAATAAATATAATCACTATATTAATTAATTGAAATTTTTAAACAATAACAATTTAATTTAAATAAAATTATAAATATATAATAAAAAATATATAAAGTCTTTTAAATTAGTATAAAAAACTAATAAATAAACATTTTTTATGTAATGTGATAAATTCAAAAGTCTGTTATACTTTTGTATATCAAATAAAATGTAATTTATTGATACATTTTGTTTATATTCTTTAATTTAATTTTATATTACAAATTTTATATTTATAATAATTAAGAAATGACAAGATTTCTAATTCAACATAAAAAAAAAATCCAAATTAAATATAATATATATTAGGACTTCTATTTGAAAATATTATATTTGAATATTTATTTGTAAATAAATAAAATTCAAATATTTAAAAATAAATTAATATTTGCATATCGAAATTGATTTTGAATATCAGATTTTAAATATCAAAAATCAATCAATTCTGATTTATTATTTATTTTTATTATAATTTAATATTTTTTTTTCACATTTTTTTCTTTTTTTGATTTTTGGTTTTTTCAATATATATATATTTTTTGATCAAACTTTTTTTTATTTATTTTTATTTTTATTTTTTACATCAATCAATTCTTTTTTATTTTATTTTATTTTAATTTTTTTTATTAATTTTTCTTTCTTTTTTTTTGTATTCATCTTTTCTTTTTTTGTAATTTCTTTTTTTATATATATTTTTTTAAATATGATTTTTAATATTTAAAATTATTTTGATAATTATTTGAAATTATTTTTAAAACTTTCATATATTTGAAAGAAATAACTATACATAACTGGAAGTGTTAAGCATCTGGATTTTATATTCTGTGATTTAACTCGTGATTTAATTATATTACATAACTTAAATATAAACTGTTTGATTTTTTTTTATTATTCAATATAAACATATCCTTTTCTATTATTGTTATTTTTTCACTAACTATAATGAGTGTAAAAATAAATAGCCTACTTAACATATTGACTGATAAAGAAAATTATTCTAATAACTCTAAAAATGAAACTGAAAATTTATATATTATATTAAAAACAGATATGAAATTTAAAATTTAAGAAGACTTTGAAACTTATTTAGATCAATATGTATTGCAAGAAGATTTTTTGTATAAAAAATGTGAGTTAAATATCATTTGAGTCAAAATGAAATGAAAAATATGTCAATATAAGAAAAAAAGTAATATATTAAGCGAAGAATATATAAGTGCTTTCATTTTCACTATTATTAATTAAAAAAGTGGTTAATCTTAAAAATTAAAAAAATAGAGAATTTTATCAAATTGATTATCTTTGACGTATTAATATAATGAAGATAAAAAAGAAAATTCTATTAGTGTAACTTCTATTAATCTTAAATATAATCACAATGTGAATTTATTGATCAAAGAAATGCTTTTAAAATTTAGAAAATTTATACAACCAATATTTAATGATATCAAATTTTATGTGAAGCATGAAATAACTAGTATAAAGTTAATATTTCTATTATTACATGCAAAATATCTAGACTAACCAATTTGTAAGAAAGGTTTATATAATATTATATAGAGATTTAAAATAAGATAAAAAAGTACTATTGAAAATGATACTGCAAATTTTTTATACCATCTTTACTATGAAAAACAATAAGACTCTGATTGGTTTTTTAAATTTTAGTTATCTGAATTTGACTAAAGATTAACATTATTAATTTGGATATTATCTGAACAGTAATTTTGTTATGTATGATTTCATAAAATTTTTAATATTTGATTGTATTACAGGAACAAATTAATATGATATAGTTTTATTTTTATTGATAATAATACAAGATTTAGATTAATAGTAAGTGCTTTATTAGAAGATGAAATAGAAGTTTCTTTTGTATAAGTATTATAACAATTAAAGAAAGTATCATATAATATTAATTCTCAAATTATAATACAGATTGCAATTTAATAATAATAAGTGCAATTAATCTAATATATCTGATATCAAGACATAATTTATGCATCTTTTATATTAATCTTAATTTTAAAAAGAATTTAAAACCTAAACTTGGAATATAAAGGTTCAATAAATTTTGTTTACTCTTTTTTTATATTGAAACAGTCTTATTATTAACTTTTTTGATATACAGTAGAAAGTATTAATTGAGAAATACCTAAAAGCAGAAAAATATTTAAAATGAATATTTGAATTAATTAAGAAAATTACTATATAAATAAAGTTTTAATAGTAAAGTAAATAATACTCAATAAATTAAATTACTTAATCGATTATTGAAAGATATTATTTAAAGAAATTTTCTTTTATATCAGCTTGCTCAAGAAATTCAAAATGTGTTTAATAATGAAGTAAAATATGAATGTATAACTCAAATACATAATACTCTACTTTAACAAAATCTAGATAATATACCTTCAAAATTTTTCAAAAATATTAATAGTATTTATAAAGATTTCTTAATATCACACATTCTTGTAACAATTCAAAATCAAATGAAATAATTTTTTTTTTTATAAAGCATATTTAATTGAATAATAATATAATAAATAGGTATATACTGTTAGTTAGAATTAAGAATAGAATGAGAATTAGAATAAGGTTAAGGTAAATTAGGATTAGAATTAGAGTTAAGATAAGAGGATTAGAATTAAGATTAGGGTAAGAATTAGGATAAGAAAATTAGGGTTAGAATTAAAATAAGAATTAGAGTTAAAATTAGAAAGTATAGAATAATTAAAGCTCTGAATGATTTGGATTAATCTGAAGATTTTTCAGATCAGTTCAGTTCAGATCAGTTTCAGATTGCATAAAAATTGATCTGAAAATTTTTGGTTCAGTTCAGATTTTTTTCAGATTATAATTCTAATCTGAATCAAAAAAAATCTGAACTGAACTGATAATTTTGAATTAATTTGAACGTTTGGTTCAATAATATGCGAAACTCTTGAAGGATTGCAAAATTTGCGAATTCTTTAAGAGAATCGCAAAAATTTAGCGAAACTCTTAGAAAATCGCAATTTTTTGCAGTTTCTCTTTAAATTTCACAAAAAAATTGCAAAAACCTTAAAGAATTACAATTTTTTGCAATTTTTTCTTCGAATTTTACAAAAAAATTGCGAAAACCTTGAAGAATCGCAATTTTTTGCAATTTCTCTTAGAATTTCGCAAAATTATTGCAAAACTTTTAGAGAGTCGCAAAAAATTGCGATTTTTCTTTGAATTTTGTGAACCTCGAAGAGAAATTCGCGATTTTTTATGATTCTCCTAGAGTTTCGCATATAAATTGTGGATTCCTTATATAATCAAACTGTAATTTTGAATTAATCTGAAAATTTCAGTTCAGTTCGGATTTTTACCAGTTTGCAGTTCAGTTCAGATTTGGATTGTTATTTTTAAGATTAATAATCTGAATTGAACTGAACTGAACCATTTAGAGCTTTAAAAATAATAGTTAACTAGAGTTAGAGCTGATACTAATTTTAAATTCTTTTAATATTTAATATTGGCTTGTATTGTCTAGTCACAATAAATTTTATAAGCTATATTCGATCTGTTATTAAAAAATAAATATTAACATTTTAAATAAAATCTCTTCATTTTTATGTTATTTGTAACCTGTAATTTAAATTAATGAAGAGATTTTTATAATCCGATTACTAATCTGAGAGGAATAAGAATTTAAAGTCAACCCATTTCTAATATGTATCATGAAATTTGATACCTAAAGTAAATGAATATGATTAGCCAATCTTACATTAATTAATCACGTGCAGTTTGAAAAGTCAGCGTTTGAACTAAACTATATTGAGATTAACTTTGATTTAAATAAAGTTTTATCTTTTTTTTCGCAACTTTCTTTTTGTGTGACATTAACTTTAAAAACTTTAGCACCTCTTTTTTTTTCAATGTTTTATGAAAAATTTTAATGAAAAAAATGACCTGGCTCCTAATTTTTATGTTAAAATTTTAATTTTTATTGGTGCATAATTGCACACCTTTTATAAAAAGGGGTGAGAAAAAAAAATGTAAATCAAACTTCATCTATGGGACGTCAGTCAAAGCAAAAAAAAATTTAATAAAAGTATCTTTAAGAAATAAGCCGATTATCATCGAAGATTTTTCATTTGAAGAGGATTTGTCATCTGAGGAGGGTTCTTCATTTGATAAAAATTCTGAAATATCTTTTGATGATGAGATTATGTGAGCGGATTCTGAACTTGATAATGAATCTGAAAATACGTTAAAAAAGCTGGTTTCTGATACAAAAAATATTAAATCTAAATGGCCACTTCAATATATAAGTAACAGTATCTGAACTCAAAAAAGATGCAAAGTAGCTGCAAAGAAAATGGCTATACAAAATAGCAATACTATTACGCAATTTTTTCTTCCTATACAAAATGAACCTGATACACAAACAGATGATACTCATTCAAATGAATTGGAAGGTTATAATGATATCAATTCATCATCCACAGGGTCAGAAATAGAAAGTGATAATGAAATTGAATTAATAAAATTAATTCCTTTTATAGAAAAAAAACTTCAAGATGAGATTCTATTACCTGAACAAAAATGGCGATTAGGAGCTGTATTTTAATATTATCGATGCTGTCAATTAAATATCAAAAAAATGGAAGCCAGCCTTTTTATTGTACAATAATTAGATAAAAATGAATATTTTGCTCATCAATTTTGAAAGTGAACTCATATGTTAGTACAAAATCAAGAAATTCCTGTTTCAATGCATGAGAAACATATTAACATTAAAAGTCTTCTTGATGATGAAGATATACGTCATAAAATTATTAACTATTTACGAATAAATAAATTTGAATTTTATTTATCAGATTTTATTAACTATATATCAAATAATATATTTTCAAAATTAAGCATTGAACGTAAAACTAAAATTACGTATGTAATAATTTTTTTAATTATTGAACTTTATATTAAAATATATTTTTAATTTTTTTTTATTTCTTAGAAAAAATACAGCTCGACGTTGGCTTTATAAGATGGGTTTTCGATATAAAAGGTATCATAAAGGAATATATATCGACGGACATGAAAGAGCTGATGTTGTTGAATATCGTCAACAATTTCTTACTCAAATGGCAGAGTATAGATTATAATTTATTTATTTATTTATTTAATGTTTATAATAAAAATTAATATAATAAAATTTATTTTAATAGATATAAAAAATTAATGTCCCGTTTTGAAGGAAATGATTTGGAAATTCAAATAAATCCTATTCTTAATGAAACAGATAAATCTCATATTTTTATTATTCATGACGAAACATTATTTCATGCTAATGATGGTCGAAAATCTGGATGGGGTCCTAATACTGAACAACTACTTCAAAAAAAGGACAAGGTTGAGCAATTCACGTTAGTGATTTTTTATGTGAAATTATTGGAAGACTTAAACTTAATGAAGAATAAATAAATACTGTTGGTGAAAACTTTCTACATGAAGCAAAAATAATAATATATCCTAAAAAAAATTATGATGGTTATTGGAACATTGAAAAATTGATTAAACAGGTATATAATTATGTTATTTTATAAAAAATATAATTTTTTTATTAATTAAATTTACATATATAGATTGTTGAAAAAGCTATTCCTATTTTTGAAACAACATATCCTGAAGCTATTGCTATATTTGCTTTTGATAATTCTTCTTCACATGGTGCTTATGCTTCAGATGCATTTAATGCAAAAGTAATGAATGTAAATCCTGATGAAAAACAACCAAAAATACACGATACAGTCTTTAATAGTCAAATACAATATATGGTTTTCCAAATAATCATCCAAATCCTGAATTACAAGGAAAACCAAAAGGAATGAAAGCAATTCTTCAAGAAAAAGGATTATGGAATAAAAAATTAATTGGCTTCTGCAAAAATGATATACCTGAAGAAAATTGTTGTATGCAACATATTTTAAAACAACAAGATGATTTTTATAATTAATCTTGTTTAATTCGTAAAACAATTAAAAATTTGGGTCATAAAGTTATTTTATATTCTAAATTTCATTATGAATTCAATTTTATTGAGATTTATTGAGGAGATGTAAAATGATATACAAGAAGAAATTGTAATTATACTTGGCGAGGTTTACAAAAAATTGTACCAGAAGCATTAGATTCAATTTCTTTAAAACAAATTCAAGGTTATGCACAAAAGCCTTTTAGGTATATTAAAGATGGTTCCCATAATTATTTTCAAATTTCAATTGAGTTGCAACTTAATTGCGTCATAAGGAAATTTAATTGTGCTACAAGTTGCAACTCAATTGCGCCATTTTTTTCAATTGCGGTGACCATCTTTAAGATATATGAATACTTATAGAAAAGGACTTAATGCAAAGTAAGCAGAATATGCAGTTAAAAAATATAAAAGACATCGTGTTATTCTTCAATCAATTTTTGAAGAATTTTCTTAAATTTATATATAAATTTAATAAAGTATAAATATCAATCACGTGATTCATATATAAATTTATAAATTTGACACTTTTAGTTATATGATTTTATATGTTTATATGTAATTTATAAATTTGGCATTAAAAAAAAATTTACCGTGACTAGACGATACAAGCTAATATAACTATAATGAAGTATGATTATATAAGAGGTAACTATAACAGGAATAACTGTAATATCTAGAATTATAAGATTTTTCTAAGAACTTTAAGTAAACTTAAAATTATATTAAGCAAAGAATAGAAAAATTTGGATTGCTATATATTTAAAGAGGTCATTGCTTTAATATCATAAAGAATAAATGTAGTATTAAAAATAAAAGAAGGGCTAACACATTTATTAACTATTTTTAGTAATTATTTTTTATGTAAATTTTAATGAAAATCAATAAAGTTTTGTCATTTTTGACATTAATTTTAAATTAAGTATTATTTTTAGACGTGACTATATAATAGTTTTATTATTCTTAAGAAATAATGCATTTATCATTTTTTAGATACAATAGTATTATCATTTCTTAAATATAATGCATTTATTATTCCTTAGATATGATGTATTATTATTTTTTAAGTATGATAGTTTATCTTTAAGTAAGCTGATTTTATCATTTCTTAGGTATAATATATTTATCATTTCTTTGGTATGATGGTTTTATTATTTTTTAGATTTGATAATTATATGATGATATTATCATTTCTTAGAAATGATGGTTTTATTATTCTAATAAATTAAACTTTCAGATTAAACTGATTTACTAAAATAATATCAAATATTTGAAAAACTTGTTGAATTAAAAGGATGATTTTATTGATATTAATTTAATGTTTAATTTCAGTATATATAGGAATATTTATATAAATAAGCTTAATTTTTTTACTTTTTAAAAAATAACTTTAATTCAAACTTTATCTTTTTACAATTATTCTAAATTTTTTTTTTTACATATCACTAAAATGCCAAAAAAAATTATTCTAAAAACAAAAAGAACTTAAGTTGAATTTTAATTAACTTTTCAAAAAAATAAACAAAAAATAAACTGATTTTTTTACTTTTTATAATAGAAACATATCTCTAACTATTAAAATTAGATAAAAATTAAGTTGAACTTTAGTTAATTTTTTAAAAAATAAACTGATTTTTTTTACTTTTTATAATAGAAACATACCTCTAATTATCAAATTTGGATAAAACTTAAATTAATTTTATTGATAAACTAGTCAACTTTTTAAATAATAAACTGATTTTTTTTATTTCTATAATAGAAAAAAAATAATTTCAAGTGATTTGATAAAAAAGAGTAGATTTTTTATTTTTTATTATTTTATTTATTATTTTTTATATTTTTAGACAATTTTAAAGAATTTTTTGAAAGAAAAATAAATTATATTTTTATTATTTTTTTTTTCTTTTTCAAAAATAACAATATTATAATAATAAATATTTAGAATAATTTAAGGAAATTTTAGAAGAAAAATGAATATTTTTATTATTCTACATAGATTTTCCATTTTTTTTACTTATATTTTTAATTAAAAAAATTAATCAGTAAAGTTTTAATAATATTTTTATTATATTTTTGTGAATTATATTAAATTTTTATTATTAATAAAATTTTAATTTTTAATAAAATTAATAAATAAATATATTAATTTTATATACTTATTTGACTGAATTAATATTAAATTAAGGCTAATATTAGGCTAATTTATAGTTATTTAAGTTTTGAATTAATGCTAAATTGAGGCTAATTTTAGACTAATTTATGGTTATTTTTGTTTTAAATTGATGCTAAATTGAGGTTAAGTTTAGAATGATTTATAGTTATTTAAGTTCTAAATTAATGCTGAATTAACACTAAATTGAAATTAATTTAGGTTATTTATGATTAAATTTAAATTTTAAATTGATACTGAATAGCTATATCCAATTGAAATCAATTGGTAGGTGTTTATGATGATTAGAAAACATAGCAAATCAGTTGTAAATAATATCAAAATTAGCTTAAAATTAGCCATCTGATTTTTAGCCAATTTGAACTATTTTGATCAGTATAATAATAATAACATTAGTAGTATTAATAAAAATAATATTAGTAATATTAGTGATGGTATTAGTGATAGCATTTTTTTTTAATAATAATGATTAGTAAATAAAATTTAAATTCAGATTTTCATATAATATTAAAAATAAAATATTTAATATCAAATATTTTATCTACTTATTTTGAAGTTATTTAAATTTGTAAATATTATAATTATATTTATATTGCAGATACTTTTTTATGCATTTTTTTATTAACCAACTACTCTCACTAACTTATAAACTTTTATTTCTTTTTTTGAATTATTAAAAAAAATTTAAAAAAAATAATTATTTTTTTAATTATTAAATAATCATATTTAATATATTTTTTTAATAACTTTTACAATAAAATTTATATTTTAATCTTTATATTTATAGTAAAATTAATTTTTAAAGTTAACTTACAAAGTATATTTCTAACTTTAAAAATAAAATAAATCAATTTACTAATAAAATTATTCAATTAATTTAAAATTTTTACCAATATATTATTACTGTATTTTTCTGATTTTAAGCATTATCTTTTTTAAAGTTTTCACTAAAGTTTGTGATATTACTAAATTCAGAAGTTTTTTTAATTTTCAAAAAAAATATTTTGTATTTTAGAAAATTTTTTTTGTAATAAAAATGATTACCTTAATTTTTACCTTTTATTTTTTTCACATGTAATGCCAAAAATTTATGTTTTACTAGTAAAAAGTTCAAAACTTTAAAATATATGAATATTTATAGTAAAGAGTAGTAGCTCATAATTTTTCTATTGATTATTTCAGATTTCTTAAAAAAAACAAAAAGAAAAATCTGTAAAAGAAAAAAATTGATATATTAGCATAGAAAGAAAAATATAGTATTCTGAGTTTGAAACAGTTTTAAAAAAATAACTTTTAATGATAAAATAAATGAATTAGAATAATAAATATGAAAATATATATAAAAAATTCAAATTTAAATGATGCTTATTTTTGTTTTTCAAGTTTTTTTGTCAAAAGTTAAGGTAATATTTAAAATCAGGCATTACTTAAAATTAGAAAGATACAGTAAATTCATTTTTTGTAAATTAAATAATTTTAAAATTTCAGCTTATTAATATATCATTTATTTAGTTTTAAATAAAAGAGTTGATATTTGAAATAAATTATTAATAATTATTATTTTTATAATTTCTTTAAGAAAATGTATTTGAATTTTTTGTGTAAATATTGCATGATACAAATTGATATAATAGTTAATTGTAAAAAAATAGTATAATATAAAATACAGTTAATCCTTTCTAAATGTATATACTATATATTTTCTCTTTAAATGCACGTTCTTGTTCAGTTTCAAGCATATAGAATTTATATAGAAATTTTCTCTTTAAATACATACCCTCTTTAAATACACATTTTTTAAAATTTTTACTATAATCCTAAGAGGGTGCATTTAGAGAGAGTTGATTATAATATAATAGGTAGATAAATTATAATAAAAAAGATAGCGAAAAGTAATACAAAAGTAAAAAAAATATATATTTATATATTTATTGTGTTCATTTTTTAATTATAGTACCTAAATACTAAAAATCTATATAGTGATTATTTTAACTTATAAAGACTATAAAGTAGTTCTATACATCTTAATCTTAAGACTCTTAAAATTATGATTAAACATAAATTTTAACTAGAATCTGCTTGTTAATACTAATCTAAAACTTATCATCTAAATTAATACTCTCAGAAGCTAATTACCAGGAATTTAGATCTCAGAACTATTATCAAATTTGAATAGAGTTATCACTTTTAGCTATAAGTACTTACATTACTTTTTTTCTATTTTTACTAATACTAATTAGAATTATATTATTACATAAAAGAAGACATGGATGATAACGATCTAAAGGATGACATCGATCCCTAAGAAATCATCTATGTCATCTATGTTATCTATAGTATATATTTCTTTTATACAATATATTTCTTTTATTTATTTTATTTTATTTAACTTATATATCTATTATATTTTACTTATTTTATATATTTTATTTATTATATTTATTCCTTTTATATCTTCGGTAACTTTATATTTTCTATTTTATATAAATAGAAGACAAATTCTTTTAGCTTAGCAGTGTGTTTGACTCATAGTTTTATATAATAGTTTAGTTTAATCCCTCTATATAATTGTATAATATAGAGCGTCGACTGAGGCAGTACTCCATTGTTATAGTTATTAAATAAACTGTTAATTTATTAATACTCTTCTAAATCTAAATATCAAATTAAACCTTCTACTTATCACCCATAAATATTGCCTCGCTTATCACTCATAAGTATCTTAAAGAATTGACTGTAACTATATAATCTCTGCTCAATATCAGAATATATTTATATATAACATAAAGATCTAGATAAATTAACATTCTTATAAAATTCAAAAAGGTAGGTAACAATCATATTTATATCATTAAATTCATCTAGAAATTTAACACAGCTTCTACCTTAAGTAATAGCTCAATTGGATGGTATTATAGCAGTATAATATTATATATTATTACTATAGCTATCCTAAAGTAGTATCCAATCTAAAGAAAAATTAATTTACTTTTATATATTAAATAAATTTTTAGATTCATTTAGCATTAATTCATTTTTTTATTTTTATTTTTAACTATATTTTTCTTTCTATTATAAAGATCCTACATAATCTATATTTTTATATATTTATATTAATAAGAAAATTTTTAAATATTAATATTAATTTTAAGATTTATAAATTTTTTTAAATTAAATATCAATAGTTTATATATTAAGTAAAATAAGTTAATTATATTTTAATAATATTATTTGAAATGTTAAAACTTATTTTTGAAAAAGTATAATTATATAATGAAATTATAATTAATTTAATAAATATTATTAATTAAATATATTTATACAATTAATTTATTTAAGATAAAAAATTATTATTAAAGTTATTAATTAGTAAATCAAAATAATATGAAATCAAAATAATTTATTAAAAAATTTGAGAAATTATTTAAATTTTAATTCTATATATTTTTAATGAAGTTTTAATATAATTTACTATTTTATAAGTTTAATATAGTTTTTATCTTTTAATAATTTTTACAGATTTTTTATTAAAGTTTTAATATAGTTTTACTTTTATATTTTTAAACTCATATAATGATTTATATTAAAATATAAATAATATTTTTAATATTAAGATTTTGTATTAAAAATATATAGATATTATATAAAAAATATATTAAAAATCTTGACATTATAAAATATTAAGAAGATATAATAGATTATTATATAATAAATAAAATAAATTTCTGATCATATTTTTTTAAAGTCAATTTTCTAAATTCTAAATTCTTGATTCTTACATAAAATACCAATATCTATACTTAATTTTACTAAATGGGAAAATTTATTCTGTTTTGGGGGTATCTCTTATCCTGTTCTGTAACTGTTTTTATCACGTGATATTTACAGGTTAAAAGCCTATACCCTAGGCAGTGATGTTATGGGACATTGATGGGATATAGATAGGATAGATAAGACATTTGGGACATAGTGTGGGACAGGTTGAGACATATAGCTGGGACATATAGCTGGGACAACAAATCTCTGGGACATCAAAAATGTACATCACTGACCCTAGGTACATTTTAAAGATGGGCGTCCTTAACCTAGGGAGGGGGTGTAGACCCTTATCGACCAACCCCATGTATAAATAAATATTTTTAAAGTATATATCACGTGACATATACAGTTGCGGTTTAGGATAAAGGTATACACCCCCTCCCTAGGTTAAGAATGCCCTTTAAAGATGCCCTTACTAAATTATATAAATTTAATGATATTTAATTTTGGAAAATGTTTCATTCAGAACATATGTATGTTACGATTTCAACCTTGTGATATTCTATCTACAATTTAGAAAGCTTTTGGATGCTTGATAAAAACCATAATTTTTCTATAACATTGGAGAACGATCAGTCATGTGACTTATATTATGAAATCATATAATTTTTTTTTTTAAGATCTATGCTGTATATAGAATTCCAATACCAATAATTTGACGTAATTTTTTGTATCGCTTTTCAATAAAAAAAAACCCATATAAGAATCTAAAATGATCACGTGCCTTAAATTTTATTGGCGATGTATATGGGTCGTATTTGAAAATTCTCGAAATTAAAAAAGTTTAATTCGTCATACGGGGAATTTATCAATAATAATTAAGGTAATGCAACTAGGTTTTGTTCAATTATCGACACCTAAACCGCCTAACGCCATTGTTCACGTCAAATGATTCCGCCTTTCTCATTGTAGAGTCTATATTTATTTTCAACTAGTCCGATTAGGAAACCCGTAAGCATTACCCAAAAGCATTGTTGTCATGGGACAATGATCTGGAATGTTGGTACATCTAGTACATAAAGTATATTTATATAGTTTTGGGGCATAGCGTGGGACTGAAAATGCAAAATTCTCACGTAACAGAAATTTAAGTATGATGAAATATAAATGGTTAATATATATATATAAATTTAAAGTTATTCCTGAAGGGAACGTCCTGCGCCATAATAACTGATGGAATAAATCACATGACCATACATATTAACATTACTTTATTACATTTATATCATCACAATTAAAGATATTAAATGATAAATATTTATTTATAAATGTCGTGTTGATTAGGAGAATTAAGAACCCTTCAAAATTATCCTTGCCAAGTTCTATTCCGAAACGGTATGTGGGCCGTTCTTTGTATTTCTCATCAAGAATTAAAAGAGTTAATTAAATTTATTGTGTGAGAGAATTAGGTTAATTTTGGTAAGTCAAAATTTGATTCGGACAAAAATAAAAACCCCCAATCCCGATAACGACGACAATTTACCATATCGAGAGAAATTTTACGATTCGAATCGGGGAATTGAAAACGTTCATATATATAGCCGTCTCCGATTTGTCACATCCCGATTTTTTGATTACATTTTCATGTGAATTTGAGAATAGCTTCAAAAAAAAAAAAAAATTATAAATAATGGCCATGTGTTCCAAAGTTCATCTCCTTTGGTAAAATTATTTTACTTCACAACGTGAATGCCTAAGATATATAGGACCGCAGTAAATATGAAACACGTGATTAAAGATGTCACGTATTTACGCGTAATACAAATTTAAGCACAACCATTTTTAAATTTTTGTGTGTAATTGTTTCGGTCTAGACCTTGTATTTTGATGTTTTGTTAATTCCATGATCATCTATGTTTGTCCCCGGAAATAAAGTTGGGTTTCAATATGTGAAAATAGGTAATTGTGCATACAATGGGTAGGTAAACCTCTTCAGAACTGGATACTCTATAACATTGCAAACAATTGACTTACCGTATAAAAGGAAAATTAAGAAGAGAGCATTCAATGTGTGGTATTGGACAATAATTAATATCAAATAATTAGGGATTGATTTTTTAGTTTTATGTTTTTTTTTTATGTTTTTATTTATTTATTTAATATAACAAGATTATAATGACTAAACAATTCTAGTAGTTTGATAGAAAAAATTGAACTAACATATTAAAAGAATTTTTTTTTTTTTTGTGCACGAGAAAAAATTTAATGATAACTTATTAAATATTAAAGAGATTTTTTATCTTCATTGTCATTCATTACGCATAAAATTGTTGATTCGAAATCATATGTCAATCATGTCTCATTTTATGATCATCATATTGACAAGAACAATATTTCTTTTGAACAAAAAAGATTACGCGTGAACAATTAAAATTGTTTGGCGTGGGTAAATTACTAATACCGAATTAAACCGTAATTGTATTATAGTCAAAAAAAAAAAAAAAAAAAAATCCTAAATCGTATCGCACAATCTTTTTTTCTTTTTTTCGTCTCAATGAGATGGAACGTATCATTATCATTATTTGTACACTATGAAGGATTTCTTTAAACAAAAAAGATCTAATTGTGATTATGTGATCATTTACGCGGTGTTTTTATTTTGTTTTTTTCTTTTAGCGAATTTTGATGACTAAAAACGATCATTCCGTTCAAGTCCTTCCGTCTACACCCGTATCGATAATGCGGAAATATCCATTTCGGTCATTCGGTTGTCATGTAAACCGGAAACGATGTCACACAAAAAATAGCGCCATTGAGAACGCGAAAATCCACAATGAGTAAAAGAAAAGATTTCATAGAACGCGTCAAAGTTACACGGAATCGACCAATTGATTAAGGCTAAAAGCAAGTTTTTCGGCACGAGAACCAAACAAAGTATACTAACCATATCAAGATTGAATACTTTATTATGAAAGTTTTGCACAATATGAAGCGAGAAACTTGCTTGACAAAAGGGGAAAAAGCCTTGGTAATGTTTGGATTAAAAAAGACCGAATATTCACGTTTCTTTATCTGAACAAGATCCGAAATGTTTAATCGGATAATCATGTGCCTTTTATCAGTCTGATGACATTTGACATGCTTTCTCTCTTTTTTTTTTTTCTATGAAAAAGATGTATTAAGAATGTGATATTTTCGAATAAGTGCCTGATGGTTTTTTGCGGCTTTCCCTGGAAGGGTAAATCTATGAGGTGGTCTATGAGGTGGCTTGTAAAAATCTCCCCAAAGACCCCAAGGAAGCTTTCGAAGGAAATTTAACAAAGTTTACTGGATTTTCTCTTCTGATTGATATCTTTTAAGGTCAAAAAGAAATCATTTTCCTAAATATTAAAACATCATGATAAGATGTGGCGCAAGGAAAAACCAAAATGTTTTAGGAAGGAATTTTATTGTAAGGTCCTTTTATGGCATTCATGCACCTTTGGATTTCTCACACCAATATATGGGTGAGGGAAAGATATCATCCTCTCTAAATTAGTCACCATCACTGTTACTTTGGTTATAATTATTTTTTTTATGTTTTTTTTTTATATATATTATTTTTTATATTTTTAGGGCAGAGATTCCTTCTTTTTTTCGAAAAATTTGGTTTCTTTTATATATGTCGAATTGAAGAATAAATTTCTTACTCACCGGATACGCATACTCGTGCTAATAATAAAGTCTATCGGAAAAAAAAAAAAAGATTAAACGTACGATTTTTTTTTTCATTGAGAATTCTCTTGTACGGATAATAATAATCATGCAGAAAGTATTCATAGACCAAACAAATATGTTTTTCAAATATTTTCAATCAATTTCATAGTCACAATATAGCATTCAAAAAAAGGGGGGGGGGGGTGTTCTATATATATCCAATAAACTTTAATTATAATATTCATTGTTAACAATGAAAGAACCCTTCAATGTAAACAGAATATTCATTTTTTTTTAGAAAAAAAAGAAGGGATGAAATGTGTAACCGATACAAAAAAAAAAAAAAAAGAAATTAAATGATATGATAAAAATAGAATAAAGTTCCCATTGAATGAAAATTATTTATGAATGATTTTCTAAAAATAACCTCCATTGTCATCATATCATTACATAACCGCGAAGATCCCTTCTTTTGGAGCTCGAATCGATATAAAAATATTAATTGAAACTCGAAAATGATCAAAAAAATGAAAAAATTTCGAAAGAGAAAAAAAAATAACGGTTCATCTCGAAACAGCAAAAAACAAAAAGTAAACATGAAATCTTAAGAACGTGAAAAAAAAAAAAAAAAAAAAAAAATCCAAAGTATACAGTAATTAAAAATAAAATTTATTAAATTATTAGATAAATTAGCTAAACTCCAATAGATTTTTTTTTTTTTTTTATCCTATTTAAATTTACCAAATCCTTTGAAACAACGATCATTTCACAAAAAAAAAAAAAATTGCTCACAACAAACAATATCAATTCCTTGACGTTTTTAATTATAATAGAATGATGTTACAATAAAACAATAAAGTGATTTGTCTGTTTTTAAAAAGAAAAAGCGTTTTGCCTAAAGACAAGGCACTTTATAATTACAAGGAATTTGGTTAATGATTTTTTGTATAAAAAATAAACGGGATGCAAAGGTCATTGGTACGACAGAGGAAAAATGAAAGCGCATGGTAGCACATACATATATGATCATGCTAATAATGTCACGCACATTAAATTTCATCAACACCTTCATAATCCATTTGATCCTACCAATCGTGAAGAAACTTCCTTGAAATTAAGGGAAAAAATGAACAAATTCACTTGCCAATTAAAATTTTCAATCCAAGTTTTCACAGAAAAGTACAACCGAAAAAAAGGAGTAGAGGTTTACAGATTGATTATATCAGGGTGTATTGTTTGATGTTAGAATCAAATTGCATGCCATTATCTTTTTTTCGATATGCAATATAATCAATCCAACGTTTCTCAAATGAGATAATACACATAAAAAACATGTGTTATTATTTCATCCCTAGTGGTTTAAAAGATGTGGCGAGTTTTTTTTTCTAGAAAACTTCCATAACTAACCTAATGTCAATTCGGTGAAAATGTCATTTTTTTTTTTAAAAAATAAAAAAGTTGATTTTGATTAGAAGGAAACAAGCGAAATTAAAATTTACGCCAATGTATCTATCCGATTTAGATAACGATATGCATCATGAAACTTTATCGTGTAAACCAAACATTGAACAAATTTTCAACTTGAATTATGCGAGTGAATCAAAATTGTAGATTTACAGCTGAAATTTTTTTTTTTTTTTTTCCTTTCAATATTTCTAAATTCTCCAAATAAAAATTTTTTCTTTATCATCTTAAGGGTACACAAATAAAAAAAAAAAAAAGACATCTTTCTTTGTGTGTAAAAACTGAATGCTTGCTTACCTATGAGAAATTTGCAAATGCTTTAGGCAGTCGATTCATGGAGCCATTTCAACTTTATTCATGTACATGGATCTTCCTCTTTATATATTTATAAAACATAGGGTCACAAATGACGGAGAGCACCCGAATAATAGAGTATTCTTATTGCATAACTATACATAATCAAATCAAAAAGTAATTCAAACATGCATTTTAAGATTTCATTTTTCCTTTCTCATTTAAAAAAAAAAAAAATTTTAGCAATCAACAAATAATATCATTCACGTTCTGTCAAGTTGATCATTTTAATTGAGGCTACCGCAAATAGCGTGAAATAAGATTTCTCACAAAAAAAAAAAAAAAATTACTGACAAAGAAAATAACGATCTTTATGATTTTTATAACGGCATTGTCCTCTATTTAGATAGTAATTGAAAGTTACAAATTTGGTATAGAAAGGAACGATTTTTCCTCGCAGTAAGAATAAATCATAAACCGTAAGAATTGTCCGCGGGAATTCGTACATTACACTAGAAAATAGTATAAATGACGTGACCTTGTGCATGTTTAACATAAATTATGCAAATAATGTTTTGCGATCATACAACACAAAACCTTGACCTCCTTTCATTGACTAAAAGGTTCATCAAATCATTGTTTCTTTGTTGTAACCGAGAGTTACTTCATTTAGGTTATCATTTGAGTTAACCAAAATGGTATGGTTTCATCAGATTTCATGTTCCACTTTTCAAAAATGATGATAAATCGGCTGTGTGTAAGGATCATCTTTGCTAAGCCACGACGCGATTTTGAGATTGATATAACCACCTTTCATTTGACAAGTTTTACTAAAGCGTGTGATGTTGAAAGATCGACGCAGAGGAATGAAGGTGAACTCATTACGAGCATTCAATTTTCAAAGTTTGAAAGAGGTTTGACCCTTGTTTCGAAGATATAAGAAGGATATATATATATTATGATTGACAATTAAGTTTTCACGAAGGAAGGATGTTCTTTTGTTCCACACTCTGCATTTCATTTTAAAAAATCCAAATAGAAATTTAAAAAAGTTTATAAAGATTTGTTTGAAAGGACAAGAGAGAGATTAATTAAACTACGTTACACCAACTTAACTCGGACATTTAAATCATTGTTATTGATAACGATTATCTTTTTATATCATTGGTTAGACCCCATTTCCAAAGCTCACCAATTTTGATCTGTCAAAGATTTGAATTTATGCTAATTGCCTTAATTGGTAATTAATTCTGTTTGGAAAACAAAATTTCTTTAATCAAATTCTGAGAATGTATGTTACGTTTTTGATGGGGAGATTAATTCCCTTTGGGCCAATTCCTGTTTGAATTCCCGTTATCAAAATATTTATGCCAGGAATTTTCTTAGCATTCATGGACACGTGAACATCCTTTGATAACCATCAAATAATGGTCTTTTTCACTTTGTTTCTTTACGAAAAGAGAAAACACTTGTCGAATTATTTAGGCAATGCGAATTACTCTTTGCGGAAAAGCGTGTCGGATTATGCGCCGGGCATGCCAAATTCTAACCAATCTACGGGAATTCTATCCTTGTTTCATTATTTTGAAAGACATTAAATTGTGGCGATGTTTATTTACTAGAGAAAAAGGGAAAATAAGGAAAGAAAAGAAACAGGTTTTTAAAGTTTTAATTTTTCAGAAAATTTTCAAAATGACGAAGAATTGATTTTGGTTGTGTTACACGTGTTACAATGATTCGAAATTCGGCCGTTATTATTTATATTGGCTTTAAAGTAAACAAAGTAAATGACAAATCAAGGGTTCCGCATTGTTTTTTTTGTCGGTGGCTTGACATCGGATGCGAGTGATATGATCGAGAAGGTGATAATTCCCTACCTCGCCTAAATAGACCTGCTAAATTCGGCAATTTTCAATACTACTGTCAGTTTATGCGTTCTGTTTGAAAGGGTGGCTGAAACTAAAAAAAACCATAAAATTATTATTTATCAACTCAAGTGAGTAATGGGATTATATACATAAGTTAATTACTTTTTTTGCAGATGATAACCTTATTCATCCAAAATCTCCATGATTAATTTGTTCTTTTTACATTACCAATATAAATAAGGATTTTTTTCATTACGCATCTAAACGTTTAAACGTGAAATAATTTATATGGATAAAATAAATATTACTTTTTAATAAATAACGCTTGGTTTTCGTGTAAAAAAAAAAGTCCAACTTTAAAACCTGAACAATTTCTTGTGTTTTAGTGGAAATCTTTTTAAACACGCCCAACGAAAAAAAAAAAAAATCTTTTTTTTGTTATTTTTATTAATTCTATTTTATTTTTATTTTTTATTTTTTTTTTTTTTTTCGAAAAAAGAAAAAAAAAAATATAAATTTCAAACATTAACGAAAATACGAAAAAGAGCATCTCTTACAATCTTAACAATTAATTATATTACCCCCTCAATATTTTTGTTTTCCTTTCGCATCACGTTGCAATTCTAATATATTATACATATTTTTTTAAAAAAAATCAAATCACAATCTGACATATCGCCGAATTTTATTTACCACAAAAAAATTTTTTTTTTATAATTCATAATAATTGTTTGATTCCTTAAACAAGGTAAGGTTTTTTTTTGGGTCGTATCTGTGTCATGCACAATCTCCTTATCACCGTCGAAAATTTTTGTTATAAAACGAACATCTCCTCTATTTTCTTTTTTTTTTTTTTTTTTTAAGACAAATTTTTTTTTGTTTTCTCTGCTACGACATTTTCATATTATAATCTATAAATACACACACACATATATATAGTTATTTGTATAAAAAAAAAAAAAAAAAAAAAAAAAAAAAAAATTTTAAAAAAAAAAAAATAACAATCTGCACCTTTTTTTTTATTTTTTTTGTTTTGACCTTTTTTTATTTAATACCTACACATTTTTATCAAAACCTTACTTGATATAGAAGGTTGCTGCCATCTTTTTTTGCTTTTCGAACAAAACACATTTTTTTTTTACTACGCCATCCTCACTCATCTAAAAATCTTTATATATCACTTGAATCTTTTTTGAATTGTTGTCCAAAAAAAAAAAAAAAAAGTTTAGCCCGTCGCCTTACACGAGCAAACCACTCTTCTTTTGATGTCTACCTCAAATGCAACAAATTATGGCACTGTTAAGAACACTTCTTCTCCAAAGGTCATGGGAATAGCAAATTTCACAAAATGGGTGAAAGTGGCCATATTACGTAAACCACCAAATCAAAACCATATTCTCTATCGATCAACAAAAGTAAGAAGGTCAAGTTCGATCAAAAGATCCGTTTCTACCAATAAAGTATCCTCCACAACCAACCCCCCTTTAACCAATTCCCCTTTACCTAAATCACGGAATCTCATTCGTCACAAATCTAACAAACTTGTGACGCCTCGTGATAAAAGAGCGAAATCGTTAATTAACGATGTGGAATGTGCTGGTAACAATTCTTGGATTGACCAAGAAGAACCATTGGATAAAGATGAAATGATAATACCCGGTTTAAAACCCGCTCTTATTGATATGTACGAAATGCCCGCCGTCATATCTAATAGATCACCTCGTCAACAACCACCTTCCCCTAATTATGATTCTAATGATGTCATAATATCTAGAGTTGATTACCTGGAGAATACGAATATTGTTAAAGGTTCGGTTGAGCATTTCGCCTACCTTCGCTCCGTAAGAAAATTACGTGTTGGAAAGCGTCCAATATCTCAAGCCCTTTCGTTAAATAAAATTTTGGCAAAACTTTCTTCACAAGTATCTGATAAAGTACATAAAGAATTAATTCATTATAAAAAAGTTTATGAATTAAATAGACAACAAGATAACAATAATCATAACGGTTCCCCTTCTTCACTCCCAAACAAATCATGCACAAATCAAAGATTATCAGTGATATTGTCTGGTGTACATAAATCTCCTATTACAATGAAATATCGTCCTTCTTATGCCACTTCTAAAGTTGTGACGGTATTTGATGATGAACTAAATCAATTGGTCGTAAAGGAATTACCCATGGCGAGAAGAAGAAAGAGATTAAACAGTTTAACAAATACTCTTGTACGTTCAACTTCCTCCTCCTCCTCCTCTTCGGCAAAATCTTCTCAATCTTCTTTGACCACATTAACCAATCAAGATGAACAACAAAATTACTCCTCGTTAACAAAGGAACCTGATATTTATCTATCGGATATTATCGAAATATCTGATGATGATGATGGTGATGAAGATGATGTTCCTTTATTCGTTCTTAAAGAACAATTTCGGTATTCTGGAAGAGGTCCTGTTTCCTTAAAAAATTTTACGTCTTCTGTGGAAGATAATAAATCATCTCATTTGACTTTGGCCGTGTAGAAGTGTTTACTTTACTAGAAGCTTAAGGAAAAAAAATTTTCAGAAAGAGAGAAACCGATTCGATGTGTATATATCCATCTGGACTATATATATATTTATATAATTGTTTGATTTTCTTTTTGAAAATTCTTTGATAGAGTTCAAGTATATTATAGTAGAAGCTTGAACTCGAGATCCGTGATCCGTGATTCGGATTCGATCGGGTCAGTTCGATTTGAGGAAAACAAGATTCAACGTTACAAGTAAAAAAAATTAACGAATCATAAAAATATACATAAACATCTGATTTGAACGAACATAAAAAAAAAAAGCATTTTTTTTTTTTTTGTACATAGTTTACAACTTTTCTTTGACTTTGGTTTATTATAATAATACTAATTGCGTTTTTATTAAGTTATCGAAAAATTTATAAAAAAAAAAAAAAAAAAAAAAAAAAAAAAGATAAAAAAAAAAGATAAAAAATCGATTAATGAAAAAAATGAATTAGATTGAAACCACCTTTTTTTTTTTTTTTTTTTTTTTTTTTGGGAAACTATTTTTATTAAAAAAAATAACTGATAATAAATTGAATTTGATAGACTCTTAAAATTTTAATTGGATCATTTAAAATTTAATTATCTTGTACTTGTGCCGGGAGTCGGTTTATTGACTTTATATTAGCATAACCGTGTTAGAATAAATAATATATTTAATTGTTTTTATTCTGTGTTCACGGAATTGTGATCAGTTTGTTGTGCTTTTATTTATTGTTGATTTCTGTAACTTTTTGACGAAGAAATGTTCTAAATCTTTCTCTTACGCCACGAAACGCCACGACATACTAATCACCCACTTTCTCGCTTTTAAGTTTGTTACGTTTATAATGAACACTTTTTTTGATCTTTTTTTTTTTGTATTAAAGGAAAAAAAAAAAAATTTAATTAATTTTAAGTATGCAAGTTCCCAACACATCGTTCACATGATGATGTTTGAAACCGCTTAAAAAAGAATGATGAGGTTAAAAATAAAAAAAATAAAAATAAAAATAACAAATATTTTTTTTCATCCATCGAATATTCTTTCGCATCAATTAGCATCGAACTGCATACCTAATAAAAACGAGAAAAGAAATGAAGATCTTCATCTTCGAAACCTTTTATACATACAAGGGATATCCAGTTAAATCGAAAATAATTGCAAGAACAAAAAAAAAAAAAAAAAAAAAAAAAATCTAAATCTTTTCTCTTCTCATTTCATTTTTTTTTTTCTCTTTTTTAAAAAAAATTCATCTAAATTGTTTTTGGATTTTACAAATTCTATTGTGCCTTTTTTATTAAAACAAAAAAGAAATGAAATGAAAGAGAAAAAAGAAACACGACATTTTATATATTGAGAAACGACATTTGTGCATATTGTGTGTATATATGTGTAATGTTGTAGGGTTCGCGCTACAATAATGAAACCAAAACAAAAACAAAATAAAATTTAACATGAAACAATCATACATTAAATTAAATTCTTTTCTTTAAAACTTTTTGTTTTCATTAAATAAGGTAAAACAAATGCAAATTGTCACCTTTTTCATCCTTTTTACCCTAGTTATACATTATGTAAAAAAGGGGATGATCTAAGGGGATGAATAATGTGGTTATGCGGGGTATTGGTATAACAAACCCCCCCGAACAACACTAATACATATGTACTTAAATTCAAATTTTTGTACGAGAAAAATTAATTGTCCATTATCCCATTTAATTAGAAAACAAATAACCTGTCCCGTTTCGTACTCTTCTTTATTACGTTTAGTCATGATTTATAAATCAGATGAATAATAATCGTTTTCACAACTTTTTTGAAGGGTGAAACCAATTTTAATTTGTTTTCATCTTTCTATCAAAATTAATTTACAAAGAAAATCGCGTATCGGAATTCTTTATCATGTGATAGATTCAAGCGTGAACGCAACAAAAAATGACTCCAGTAATTGTCATATGATTTGCATCGAGATCACTAGTCAAATTTGCTATAAATGTAACGAAAAACTTCCGACGGGACGTAATAGAATTATTTTAATGGTAAGATCCAAATTTTTTTCGCAAAAAAAAAAAAAAAAACCCTACTATTTTGCTTTTTTTTTTTTTTGATTTTTTTTTTTTTACATGATAAATAAAATAAAAAAATAAAAACAAAAAAAAAGAAAAAAATGTTGAGCCTTAATAACGATGTTTTATTTTACATCTTTGAAGAGTTGGAGGATGATAATAATTCCTTATTTTGTTGTGTATTGGTCAATAAAAGTTGGTGTTCCACAGCAATTCAGATTTTATGGAAGAATCCTTGGGAATATTGTATGAATAAAGCATCTTTATTTTATACCATCATTTCGTTCTTACACAATGAATCGAAAGAATTCCTCAAGAGTCAAGGAATTTACATCTCCTTATCATCACGACAAAGTATGTTTAACTATTTGCTCTTCATCAAACACTTGGAGGCCACCGCCATATCAAGCATGATATGCGATGGGATCAATTATAAAAGCGCTGATAAGAGATATCATCAATTCATTTTGGAAGAAGAAATTTATAAACTATTTATGAGTGAATGTTCATTAAAGAGTTTAGAATTGGATCACATTAAACATCAAATCCATCATTTTCCCGGTGCGTATAGGTGCCTAGCGGATCTCGTCGAGTTGAATACGAATTCTTCCATCCCTTCGGAAATCTTTTTCGGTTTGTCACGAATTTGCAAGCGTATCAAAAAGATTTATGTATACTTTGATTACATAGATGAGGAGAATTATGGATTCGTCAAGTTAATTCAAGTTCAACAAAATTTAAAACGTTTCGTTTGCACGAAATCTTTTGATAATAATAATGACCCATCCGAAGAACTCGGTCTCGCGTTAACATCTTGCTCCCAAACTTTGACCAATTTAGAATCCAGATTTAAACGTGAAATCTTCCTTCCGCCAAGGATTTTCCCTTTGTTCAGAAATCTGAAGATATTACAATTGCTTAATGATTTCCTTAGTGAGAGTTATGAGGAACAACTTCAGGTTTCTTCCTACCCGAACCTTGAAATCCTTTACATAAAAAATATCTCCCCATACACCATTTCAAAGATAATTAATAGTACCACGGGAAAGTTACGTAAAATCTTGATTCAGTATAACATCGGTGATTATTCGAATTGTCTGATTCAATCCATAATTGAACATTGTCCGAACGTGGAGATTCTATCCTTAATCATTGATATGGATAATCTGTTATACTTTGTGAAATTACTCGATTCTTGTCGTCAGTTGAAGAGTTTATTGATTAGATTATCGGATGAGAATTATAAATACAGGATCGACGAGGAAAGGGAAAAGGATGGAAAGAGATTTTTAAATGCGCTCTTGAGATCCTCAAGACATTTATGTGAGTTGAGATTCTTTGATTTAAAATTTTCAACGAGCTCTCTAGAATCTTTCTTTGAAAGTTGGAGGGGTCGACCATTACTCACTTTGATTACAACTGACGATGATGAGGATGATTATGAGTCTGAGAAATACGTGAAATTGTTTGAAAGGTATAAAAATGAAAATGTGATTCAAGGATTTATTTGTTTACCCATCAAATGGTTGATTTACCTTTGGTTTATTTAAACGAACCCTATTATAAATAGATTTAAAAAAAAAAAATTGTAAACATGCAATAAATTTATCATCATTATTAGTCATAGTGGTAATTAAACGTTAGTGATAGCATTTGTATTTTTTCAAGGGATTTAATTATGAGGTTATGTTCAAATATAGTCCAAGCTTGTTATAGTGATACCACAATTTCCATGAAATGTGTTATTCGCCATGACGAGCTTCGACTATATCCACCATAACGAAAGAAAATTAAGTTTTCAAATGTTTCATTTGTGATTTTAATTTAATTTACCAAATCTGTATATATGCAAGAACTCGCACTTTACAAAAGCTGATAATATTTCGAGAGGGGAAAAAAAAATTATTACTCTAATTATACAAGAAAAAAATTAACATAAGAAAGTGTTTCAATTATACTGCGGTTACTAGTAGACCAGGACTTAATTTTTTTAGATCCTTAATTGCATCCGAATGGTTTTGTAAAGCAGCTGATTCCAAGTATCGTAAACCTTTCTCTCTATTTGTCTCTATACCCTCAAGACCATTTAAATAAAGGTTACCCAGGGTATATTGAGCCATAGCATAACCATTGTCAGCAGCTTTCATGAGATAATTTATAAACTCTGGTTTTTTCATACTTAATAGAACGTTCGCATAATGAAATTGGGCTTCAGGTACGTTGGAATCAGCTGCTTTCTTATAAAGTTTAAAGGCTTCACTGATATTCTTTTTCACGACATAACCTTGTGAATAATAATACGCCTGCCAATAAATCGCTACCGGATCACCAATTGTTGCGTGAATCTCAAAGCATTTCCACGCTTTTTCTTTTTCTCCACGTTTGTGAGCATTTATAGCTTCATCAAGTGACAGTATTGGTTCAAGCGCAAACACCTCATCTTCGCATTCGTTAACTGATGAAGTTTTTGATTTGGAATCGTCATTTGTGGAAAGTTCGGATTGTGACATATAACTGGAAGACCTTTTTGGGTGTATTCGACGCGAATGAATTCGAACCAAATCATCAAGTTCTTGATATATATCCTTTATGGTAAGTCGTTGTTCTCGCTCATGTGCCCAGGCTAATTACGTTTAAATTAATTCGATGTTTTAAAAAAAAAAAAAAAAAAAAATTCTCGATCTTTCTGCTTACCACTCTTGATTATTCTCATAAAACCTTTGATAATAGGCGCTTGATCATTGCAATGGTCAAGATCGAAGGCGTCAAAAGTTTCTCGTCTTTTGTCCATCACGTGAGCTATGATATCTTTCATTTCCATTGACTTGTACGGTAACATTTGAGCGCCAAGTTCCCAAAGTAACATACCAAAGCTAAAGATTTCACATTTGAAATTATATTTCTCTTTACTAGGTTGATTATCTTTGGGCATTTTTTCGGGGGCCAACCATCTTATTATGGTGCTGTAAGTTTTTATTTGAATAGTCAGATCATGATGTTCTCTACTTAGATGGAAGTTGGCAATCTTCGCTTCATATCGAGCATCTCCCGTAATCTAAATGAAAAATATATCACATAATGTATAAGAAAACGCAAAATGAATGGTAATTTTATCAACTTACAAGAATATTTTCGCATCTGAGATCGTGATGAAAAATCATGCTATCCCATCAATTACCAAAAGAATATTGGTTAAGGCCGGAAGAAAAAGAGATAACACAAGTTAAAAATATATATATACGCACGAAACTTACCATGCTTGTAGAAATACGAGACCACTGGCAATATCATGAGCGATGTTTAATTTATCAACCCAATTTAATGGTCCTTGTTCATATAAATTTCTCAAATTTCCATGCTCAGCCCAATCAAACACGAGAACCGTATAATCGTCAATTACGGATTTACCGTGAAATTTGATGATTTTATTAGAAGATTGTAAGCAATTTAATATCGCTAATTGAGCTTGTACCCTTTTTGTCTCCGATAAATTGTTATCAGCAACATTTAAAATCTTGCAAGCGACCGGTATCGTGTTACGTAATCTTCTGCGTAAAATGTTTTCATGTGAAATTTCTGTGACTTCAGCATGTAAATCTTTTGGATTTATCGTTGGGGCATTAAATATAATTTGCGGGTTTGATGGTGACACTTTCTTTTCTTCTTTTGCATTTTCGGATATACTTTTATAAATTGCCAAAACTTCTTCATATACTCGGTTTACGGCGGTAATGGTTCTTTCTCCTTCGGTTTCTAAAGATTTTAAAAACTTTGTCATTTTAGCAACGTCTTCACTTAAAGTTTGTTGCTCTCTAACTTTTGTTTCTTGTGAAATAATTATTGAAAATTGCAAGTCGTTACAGCTACTTTCTAATCGAGTTAATAAAATATTTGCTCTATTTTTAACATCCGAAGCGTGTATAAATTTTCTATAACCTTTTAATTGAGATGCATCTTCAATGAAACTCTTGACGACACTTAATATCTTATGTAATTTAATAAATGAATGATAATAAGTTTGTTTCCGAAACTTATCACAATTCTCTTCCATCCGACGAGTTAAAGTTTTAACTGATAAACCAATTAATTCAACCCTTTCCACCAGTACCAAACAAGTTTTCTCATTATATTCTGCGTTTTCATATAGATTTACAATTTCATCAATTATGATGTTTACAGACTTTATCCAAGGAAAGAATGGTTCCGCAGCTTCCAATGACATTTTAAAGACTTTTTTAGTCGCTTTTATTGTCAACGTTTTCTTATCACTCTTGAAAAGGTGCAGGGAATTTTCATCGTCATCATCATTGATTTTTTCTAGTTTTAAATTAGAATCTTTTGGATCCATAACCTCATCATCAGGTGTGGATATTTTTATAGGATTTGAATCACCATCTTTTACAAGTTTATCATTTAGTTGCGAAGAAATCTCATTGCTCGAGGGTTGCAATGCTTTACTCTCGTTTTTTACCTTTTTCTTTGGATTCCAACGAAAGCATGATTTTTGTACCATACTGGTACTTGTGCGTCCGTTGAATGTGATATAAAGTTAAAAAAGGAATGATGGATATATTTTCTTAAAAAAAAGGATGTAACGAGAATTTAGTCTTTACACCACCTATATATAAATTTAATGCTAATAATGCGAAATAGAAAAGGATTGTATGAAGAAGGTGTTTATTTCTACAAAGAAAAAGCAAAAAAGAATCCCGAGTTTTTATATGGTAACAAAACAAGATATGAGCTGTTTCATAATTTCGTGAAACCATCATAAAAAGAATTACAATTTCCATATAGGTGAATATAAAAAAATTTTGGGAGCGCTAAACCGAATTAAGATAAGAAATGTACGCTGCTGCGCCCATTCATCATTTTTCTGACAAAAAATCACTTTCCAAGAGGTGAAAAAAAAAAATTTAAAAATTAAAAAGGGATAAATAATCTTACCATGATGATGAAACAATAAATTTCGATTTTGGTGAAATATCGAATTCGAAACTGCGCCACACACACCTACCTTTGATTTTATTGAAAAATTAGCATAAAGCTCAATGGCGAACGAAACAAAAGAATATCATGTGATTCGAGAAATAATCGATTTATGTTTACGAAACATTCCTTTCAAGGCTTAAAATAGTTTGGTTTAGATTATTTACATTGAAATATCGACGTAATTTCTTCACACGCACGTGATTTTTTATCTATCGCTTCCATTTATTCAGTAAAAAGTTCGAGTTGTTAAAATTAATAAAGTCCCACATCGATTTATGATAGTTTCTTAAATTTTTAGTAAAAAAATCTGATTTTCTTCAAAAATTAACTGAAAAAGCGCAAAATCAAAATTAGAAAATCTTTTTACTGATAACAGGTCTCGTAATGCAGTCAAAGGTCAATATTTTGAAGAAATAAAGGCTTCTCTTAATACACTATGTATATTTACTACCATTTTGGTTTTTAACATGTGCTTGTAGTTGAACATCAAAGTCATTATTGTTTTACTTTTTTTCGTAAACTATTTGTTTATCTTTTTGTTTCTTTTAATTGACTTACACAGGAAACTGCCACTTTCAACTCTGCTGAATTAAATGATTCCAAGAGAAAATAAATAACAGGTACGTTTTAACAAAGGATGTGCGGAATGAGTTATCAGCATTCTGTGAGTCACATCGTTCTTTTCACTTCTAATCATTTTAGGAAAATCATATCATTTGCGAACACTGCTATTAAAGTGGATTAGACAAAGAAGTAATCATACTTCCCACTCCCTAGAACCAAGAGTGAAACTTACATTTATAAACACCGTTGTTATGAATATTTCAAGAATCTCACCCTCTAAATAAAAAACGTAAGCGCTTCTGTGTTGCTGGGGACCCAGGAATTGGAAAAACTTTTTTTAGGCGTTTGTGTTTTGTATCGATGAGAAACGAAACCTTTTAATAATAATCAAAACCCAGATGAAATTATATCTGATACACAACGAAAACTGAAACTTATGAAACTATATTATAAACATGGTAAGAGTATGACGAAAAAGTTTCAGGCAGGTATCTATAGTGTATTACTAAAGAAGGTTTCGAATATTTGCTAGATGACAACATATTACGCATCTGTACCTGTTTACTAGTAATAAGATAAATGCTTTTAATTATGGAATGGGTTCAATCAGAGCATTATGTTAAAGTTGCAGAAAGAGAAAAGGTGTGGTGTTTCTTTAATGGTAAACCACTAAAAATAAATCATGACTTTTTGAATTTTCTTCATGAATTTATGAATTATATAGTGGTATTTTAGAAGCAGTTTTATTGACAAAATCAATACAATATTTAATATAAATTATTTTAATATATTATATCAATTATTTTTTTAATTTGTAAAATTACTTTAGGATTATTACAAGTCTTGGGAAATTTCAAGAAGGAATTTTGGGCTGGTATAACCAAAAGGTTATTGAAATCACTAATAGTAATTTTTCTGATATACAATGTCAGAGAAAATTTTTCACGTTGGTTGTTGAATATGACGTAAGTAAAATGATAAAAATTAGTAATAAAGCAAAAAAAATACATTATATATAATATTTTCTTTTTTTTCTTTTTTATTTAGAACTTAAAGTTGTTGAGGTTAGAAGATTCTTAGGAGAAGAAAGGCAAACTTGTCTAAGAATATTATGAAATATTTAATACTCATTTTTGGGATATTTCTCATAAATATAAAGAAATTTAAATTTATATTTTAATAAAATTTTAATTTTTACAATATATTTTTAAATATTTTATAAATATATATTTTAGATGATGAGTACAATATAGAATCTAAAAGAAATAAATGTGTTCAAGATCAAAGAGATCTTGAGGGGGTATAATAATATACTTATTATTAAAGTTTAATTATAATTTTTTTTTTATTTTGCTAATTTTTTTCTTTTTATAGGAAAGAGAAAGAATTGAGTAAAAGCTTCTGATAAAAGAAATGATAAATACATACTTTTTTTAAAAATTTGATATTTTGAAAATTTATGCTTAGTAATAATTTTATTTTCTTTTTAACACAAATATCAAAGCTATCAGCTCAAAATAGTAAATACAAACTTTTTTTAAAAGTTTGACATTTTAACAAATTTATATTTATTAATTATTTTATTTTCTTTTTATCAGAAATTTACTTTATTTTTTTGCTTTTTTTTTACTTATTTTTATTATTTTTTTTTAAAATTAGTTTTTATTTTTTTATTCTTTTTCTTTTTTTTTTGAAAATGGAAACTTTAAACAATTTAAGTCTACACATTTATTTTGAATAGCAAAATTCAGTTTGTATTAAATATCAGCTGATAACTCTAAATTTTTTTAAATTATTAAAGTATTAACATTCTCGTTATGCAGTTTGAATACTATTTATAATAATAATAGCAAACAAGTACTAATTTTATAAATTACAACAAATTTATTAATTTTTTTGTTTTAGTAAAAACTTTTTATTAATAATATAAATCAATCACAAAAAAAATACTACTTTGTAAAATTAAAAAAAAAATAAAAAAATATTATATTATAATCAAAAATAATTATATTTATTATAATTATTATTAAAATATATATTAATTAAATTAAATTACAGTGGATAACAAAAGAAATGCAAGTGTAATTGGTCACATTTGAACAGCTATAACTCATCAATTACAAATGCTAATAATATGATCTTGTACTTGTTTTAATGCTTTAAATCTTAAATTATATCTTGGCGAAATTTAGTATTAAGTTAATAATACCAATTATGTTATCAACAGAGCAATTAACCAGTTATAATAAAGTCACGTGAATGACACAGTATGATGATCTCTTAATTCAGAATTCTGAAAATACTGAGAATTCTGCGAATTCTAGAAATACGGAGGATTTGCGTAACTCTAAAGATCTTCTAAATACTGATAATAATTATAATTAAATGAAGTCTAAGAATATTTGGTGTTATACGTATTTTTAATATTCTAAATTTTATTGTTATTTTTATTTTATTTTATATTTTTATTATTTTACGTATT